TTACTATTTATGCCATGTAGAGTAAAATCATGTAGATAGCTATTTTAATATCTCTTTTATTGCTTTATTTAGCTTTATTCATCATTTTATGCATGTAACATAGAATAAAATCATGTAGATAGCCATTTAATATTATGTAATAAAATAGGGTAATCGCGTAATTTCTCGTAATCTTTATTTAAATGAATTAATCTGTCATAGGGAACCCGAAAGGGGCGTTGTGGGGTGCTAACACCTTCCCCACACGTAACTAACTCCCTTACCCAACTCTGGTTATAATGGCCAAGTTTGGTTTTTTATTAAAATCAATGCCTTTTTATCCTTTTCCAATGTTTATGGTCAAAACATTGGTGGCGACTCCATAAGAACCCCTTTTTGAAAACCTTTTAAAACAAATACGCGAGTCTAAACCATCTTTTCGCGACCGCTCGCATAAACGTTTCGAGACGTCCCCCGGACGTCGGAAGGGACGGCGGCGACAAGTATCAACTAAAGCAGCTACCAAAACATCTTATGAGCTTTGGACTGGGCGACAACCTAGTCTGAAGCATTTCCATGTGTGGGATTGTCCAGCTGAGGCAAGGCCTTATAAGCCAAATGAAAAGAAATTGGACTCCTGAACAATAAGTAGTTATTTTATTGGTTATGCTGAAAGATTCAGGGGATATAAATTTTATGATCCCACATTAAAGACAATTTTTTAGACGGGAACTGCTACGTTCTTTGAGGATATTGAGTTTGGGGGAAGAATAAGATTAAGAACTTCATCTTGGAGGAAGAATCGGTAACAATTTCAGAACTGATTCAAATAGTTACTTTTGATAAAGTAAGTTCGGAACCTCCACAAGACATTGTTGATGAACCCCTCACTCAAGATGATTTGGTTGTTCATGAAGAACAAACTCAAGATTCTCAAGAACCTGTGCATCATGAGCTAATAACTTTGCAAAGATCCACTAGAGAAAGAAGAAGTACTATTTCGGATGATTACATGGTATTTCTTCAGGAACATGAGGAAAATAATGATATAATGGAAGATGACCCAGTTAACTTCCGTCAAGCTATACAAGGTTCTAACTCTCAAAAGTGGATTGAAGCAATATGATAAGTATAAGTTCATGCAAGACAATAAGGTTATTGGGAACTTGTCCCATTACCAGAAGGTATGAAACTCATTTGGCTTCAAGATGAATATTGTTGATGATTGTGTGTATCACAAGTTTAAAGGGAGACAAGTTTAGTCTCAATCAGTGCCCAAAGGAGAATTTGGAAATTGAGGAAATGCAAAAGATTCCCTATGCATCAGTTGTAGGGAGTTTGATCTATGCCCAAGTATGTACGCGTCCAGACATAACATATATAGTTGGGGTTCTAGGCTGATATTTAAGAAATCCAGGAATAGACCATTGAAAAGCAGCAAAAAGAGTCATAAGATATTTAAAGAGAACAAAAGATTATATGCTCACATATAGGAGGTCAGACCAGTTGGAGATCGCTGGGTTTTCTGACTCAAATTTTGTAGGATGTCAAGAATTTGTAACATGCTATGAGGCATCAAATCATGGAATATGGCTGAGAAATTTTATCATAGGGCTGCAAATTGTGAAAGACATTGAAAGACCACTTAAGTTATATTGTGACAATAAATCAGCTGTATTGTTAAGGAAAGAGTACAAAGTGAACAGATTTTCATAGAACACTTAAGGACAAACTCCATGAAAGCATATCCTCTAACTAAAGGACTTCCGCCCAAGGTCTTTCATGAGCATTTTGCTCACATGAGTGTTTTACAATTTGAGGAATTTGTGATTTAGTGGGAGTTAGTCACTTTCATATATTTTATGTTCTATGTTTAATTTCATATATGTATACATTGTTTTTTTTGGACATATTTGGTTATCTATAGATATGCGGTTTTTTCGTTCATTCATTACACTTTGTACATTAAGGATATTATATCGATCTCGATAAGTTAAAGTTTGGACCAGTTAAAAATAGACGTGTACAGATCACCTTCACGTAATTTTTCATGCTACACATTTCATGATGAATCCATGTCATTTGGTTATGTTAGGATGAGTAATCATTGTTGGTTTTAATTGCGATGATGCAATGAAAAGCTGGTTTGGTTCTATATCCTGATATGATTAATGAACAGGACTTTTGGAGTATGCTAAAGGAATATAATGATAATTTTGAGCTCATAAAGTCTAATACATTTGTAAGGTTGTAAGGACATATATATTTGTGACCAGTGGGAGATTGTTGGCAAAATTTGGGTCATGTATATATATGATACATAATTTAAATGTGTTAGAGTCATTATTTATTAAGCCAAATAATAAAGTGATCTGACTAAATTAAAGTTTTGGCTAAAACATATATGTCATGAAAATAAAATTGTGTAGAGACCATAGAACAATTTCTAATTTGATGAGGGGCCAAATTGGAAATACTAAAACTTAAGTAATTAACCTAATTCTGGTTATCTAAAGGGTCATGGCCCCTTTCTGGGAGCACACACACAGAACGTAAGTGTCAGTTCCGTTCCTTTCTTTCTATCCCCATCAAGAGAGAAAATCAAGAGAGAAATACAGGTGCTCTTCAGGTGGAAGACCATAAGATCAATATAGTGTTCTACAAAGACATCATCGTTATGACTAATTCAAGTACGTTTTCGCATTCAGTTTACATCATGTTTATCAGTATAGGATTATGTTTATGTTTGATCTTAGAATCAAAATCAGGATTATTATTATTATTATTGTTTTTCCAACATCAACTAATTACAAAATACTAAAGACTAGCTTAAAAATACTTGATGAGACTATGAGAGAAACATCTAATGGAGGAAAACAAGCTATAGAATGCAACACAATTACATTGAATAAAATTATATTACTAAAATTTTCACAGAAATCTATATGGTACTTTTCCAGTATTTATATTTCCCCCTTATAATAAAACTGGTTTTCTAAGACGGCAAGTTTGGTTTGTTCCATTTTCACGATTAACTTCTCTCGAAAAGGAAATATTTGAAATTGGAGTAATTGATAAGGATCAAACCATAAATAAATAGAAGAAAATGAATGTTGTTTAATATATATATATATATATATATATATATATATATATATATATATATATATATATATATATATATATATATATATATCACCACAAAAAAACGCTTATTATCTACGGGTAAAATCCGTAGGTAATGACAAAAATCCGTAAGTAATGTTACTTTACCTACGGATTTCTTTCCGTAGGAACTTCGTATGTAATTCGCTCGTAGGTAATTACCTACGGATTTTTTCCGTAGGTAAATACCTACGGATTTTTTCCGTAGGTAATTTACCTACGGATTATAATCCGTAGGTAATGCCAGCGATCATTTATATATTTATATTTATGTATTTATGTATTTATGTATTTATATATTTATATATTTATATATTTACACGAATAAATATAACTATAATTTATTTGTAAATTATTATTAGAATATCCTAATAAGCTTAGTGGTTGGAGTATCAGTTTTCAACTTTAAGGTAATGAGTTCAATTCATGCTAGTGACAATTCTTTTAGTTTAATATAATTTACCCATGGATAAAATTTCGTAGGTAATATCCAGTAGATAATAGGTTTTTTTTTTGTAGTGTATAACAATATAAGGAAAAATAGTTTTATATTTATGAGTATTGATGAAATGATTTAATGTTTAAGGAAAATAAAAAATAAAAAATTAGTTAAAGTGGACTAATCAGGAAGAATATTTCTGTATATATATTACACTCATAGATATGTTCCTGGAGTAAACCACGAAAGTACAGACAAACTATTTAAGAAAAAAAAAATACAAACCCTGATTACTCAGGTACTCCTAATTAAAATTATGATAAAAAAAAACATGGGGGAGTAGTTTAATACACCGAGTGCATTGATCAATCACCATATAATTATTTTAATTTAACCAACATATATGTATATGTATGTTTAAACTCTATTAATTAATCTACCTCAGTTTTCCGTTTTTAAAATCTCAGCATCTTGAAGAGTTGGTTGCATTATTTGCTTTTAAACGAATATGACTAACAAAAATGATTGAGGTTTCTTGCTAGAATAAAACAGTGGACAATATATGAAGTCGCGATTGTTCTAGAAACAAAGCTTTTGAAGGGAGACGTTAACTTGTGTGTCGTGTTCTTGATTAATTTTCTACCTAAATCAAACATTATCTCAAATTAAATTAGGCGATAGTAATAATAATAATTTCTTTAGTGAACTTGAAAACAAAGGGGTGGTTACATTGGATTGGATATGGCTCTTTGCAGCATTCTTTTATTCTTTTTCGTTATTTTTATCTTCTTTTACACGTAACCAGCTATTCTAACCTAACATTTAATTGGTCTTGAATCTGGCCAAATTTAATAGTTCCAATGACAAATTGTTATTTAGATTAGCTTCTATTCTAATCTTCTATAATATTCTACATGTTCATCATTTGATGTGATACTCAACAGAGCAATATTTCTTTAGTCGGCGAGAAATTGTGGTGTCAAGGTTGACTTATACGTTATACACTACAAAAGTCAGAAGCATAACTTGATAGATTAATTGGACCATGGTCACTGTAGAAAATGTCTAGAGGATTTTGAGTTTTTCTTACCTAAAGTCATGAGAGATGAGAAGAGATATTAAAAGAATTCCTTATATTTCTGAATTGAAATTACAAAAGATGTTTTATTTAGAAAATAGAACCAAATCTAGTATAGTACAAGTTTGTTTTTAAAAAAAAATATAAAGCTAAATAACATGCATGTATTTGTATCTTTTTTATATATGTATATGTTTTGTACCCATGTACTGTATTAAAATAGAAATTAATCTGAACAATGAAAAAAACCATGAATGAATAAAAGTGCGTATCTCTTCTTCGGTACGTTATATATATATATATATGTCCATGAATTGATGGGATCATCCTGAAATTCTTCTACCACATAATTGGTGTCGAAGAAGTGGAGGTAAAGCTGCATAATAAAAAGGAAATTAATATTAGGTTAAATGAAAGAACGTAAATAAATATGAAAACCTTATAATTTCTATAAACTTTTCAGTAGTTAAGAGAAAGGTTAGGAATTCAAGGAAATGTTTATAATAAGATTGGTACATGTGATTAAAATAAATAAAAAATTAAAATATAAAAACGATGAGTATTCTGTAAGAATAACATATTAACTGGTATGTATTATTTGTCTTGTGCTTCTGATTGATGGTGCTCACAGACAAATTATCCAAGAAAACATCCTAGTTTTGATCAAGCTGCATTTATTTTTCTCCTTTTTAATGATATCACAGAGAAATTAATAATATGGTTAGGTTAGGGACTATTATAGTCCCAACCAATCCTCACATGATGCTTGTTTGAGTTTAATTAAATTTTTTGTAGTAAATTGAAAATTTTGACTCTGTGTCATATGGAAATTAACTAAAATATATACATAGATATATGACCATACGAAGCTTACAAAATTTTTCATAAGGTGCATGGAAGCAGGTAAAACCTAGAGCTAATAAGAAAAAGAAAGCAGTTGAGAATAGGGTCTTACTCTAGAATTTCTTTCCAATAGGAACCGCTAGTTTCATCGTCAAGCAACTTCTCCCAATCATCAAAGAATGTGTTGGAAGGTGACTCTGTGCACGTTTGAGCTAAGTTATCACAACCACTGTTCATTGGGTTGAAGGTTCCCATCCTCGGAGAGGCTGCAACTAATGCAGGAAGAGGGTTTTCTGCTTGATTTTCTCGTGAATGATTAGTGCTGCTAATTTTGTTGTAATCAGGACCTTTTGGAATGGATCCACCCTCCACATCTGTCAATGATTTTGTAGCATCCTGCTGAGAGCACTCGCTTTGTACTTGAGAGTACACACTAGGGTTAGCAAATCCTTGACTACCACTCAACACCACAGGCTCCTTTGTTTGGAGGGGGTTTGTGCCGTTCAGAAATAAAGGGTTGAGATTGAGATTGCCTAAGAGGTAAGGGTTACCCATGTTAACAACTGAATTGCTGTTCATAAGTTGCAGAAGATTTTGCAGCAGTTGTATTTTGGTTAGCTGAGTGATATCTGGTTGTAAACCAAGAGGGTTACTGCCCCAAGTAGTACTCATAACACTGCTCAAGTTTGACATGCCAAGCAACTGAGAAAGACTCATTAGGTGATTCAAGTCTGTCCTTGGCTTATGAGTTTCTGGATCGATACCCATCTTTAGAAGCTTTTTCCTTATGTGAGTGTTCCAATAATTCTTGATCTCATTATCAGTTCGTCCTGGCAGATGGGCTGCAATCTTCGACCACCTACAAGGAAATCAATATTAAAGCAGTTTTCATTTAGTTAAGGGAGTTCTTAGCTTCAGAAAAAATATGAATCCTTAAAAGGAAGGTAAAATTTTAAGCTTATTTACAAATAGAAAACGTTTTCTCCAACCAAAACCGTGAATAAGCACAAAGCAAGCAAACATGTACATACTTGTTTCCGAGAACTGAATGAAGGTTGATGATAATTCTCTCATCTTCTTCAGTGAATTGGCCTCTCTTGATATCAGGCCTCAGATAGTTTGTCCACCTTAATCTGCAGCTCTTACCACACCTATTGAGCCCTGCACGCTTTGGAAGTGTTCTCCAACTGCCATGGCCGTGTTTGCTGATATAATCAATCAGCATCTCATCTTCTTCTGGTGTCCATGGTCCTTTCTTTACACCACTAATCTCCTCACGACACGGTGATCTACCCATTATGCAGAGGCACAACGGAATATGTTCAAAGGCAAAGAATAGTAAACACGTAACAGATGTCTGCTTGCAGGAAAAACTAAGACTAAACAACCGTATAGCATAGGTTAATTGCTCGAGATATTTGGTTTTATAGGTGCAGGGGGACGCGCAAATTCAAGAAATGATGTCATCATTGTTATTGTTTTTTCAATTACGTTAAATTAGAAACCAAATGGGAATCATGTACCACGGAAATGACTGTGTGAAAGAAGTTACCTAGAGATCACCCTTTGGTATATTTCAGCCACGGAGAACTTTAATTAGTGGCAGATATGTTATAACGAAAATCAGGATTAGGTAGGGCAAGTGTCGTTTAAGCAAAAGGTAAAGTTCATTGAATTTCCTAAAGTGCCTACACATATGGTTTGAATCCATTTTTTTTTGTTAAGAATTGTGGTTTGACCTGTCGGTTCAACGTTTGAAGATTTTCGATACAATCGAGATGAGAATAGCAAACTAAAGTCCTTTCTCTTTTTCTTTATCTTTGTGTTTTTGAAGCAGCAGCGTGCCCATGAACGTGCATGGGGTTCTGTTGGGGGTTATGATAAACTGTTGAATATGTTAAACTACAAATAAAATGTTGCACAGTGTAAAAGAGTATATAGGCCTTGTGACAGAATTTATAGTAGCTAAGGGAAAATGTATCTGATTCATTGCTAGTTAAATGTAGAAAAATAAATGTTTAATAATGAAAGACCTCAACTTTCTCTTGTATTAATGGAAAAGTGCCTTTTTAATTTGTACACTGTAATCACATCAACTTTGTTGTTTCATTAGCGTGCCATACTTTTTTAGCAAGACTCTGAAGTTTTAGTGTATAATAAATCTGAAATATTGATTGCACCATGAACTTTGTCATGCACATATATTATACATACACATTTAAATTCTGCAGTTATTTATTATAGCATTGTAAGATATCTTAGTTATGTTGTTCAATCCTGCAACTGTGCTGAGACAATCTTTCAAAGTTAGATTTTTCTTCTCAAACTTCATATTTGATTATGTGTTATCAGGAATAATAAGAGTTTCAAAACTGAAAAAATGCTGGGGAAACAAAGAGGTGAATGGTGCATATTATAACATTGAAATTTTTTCAGGACCTTGAATCATAGCAAGGTCTGATCAAGGGTCCACCCCATAGAGTAGTACGTAGTGCAAGATCATTGTCCTAACTAACATGGATGCTTCCCATGTTCCTTCATGCACAACATTATCTTGTGCTGTTAAATTTTTTTTTTTTTCAACAGTGTGGTCATCAACTTTGTCATTTTCTTCTTAGATTTGCTTGCCTCGATTGTGTTGTCATCATGACCAACGTCTGCCTGATAATAATAATTCTCAAGCAAGAACCATTCTCCACCTGCTCCTCATTCATTGCACTCGTTTCAAGAATTAGCAGCACTTTCTAATTTAAATTTCTCAGACGACGGAACAGTTTTTCCTCCACAGTTATCACATCATATAAAATATTGATCACTTCTAAACGAAAAGAAAGAGGGTGTGCAAAAATTCCAATCACCATTATTAATAACGAGGATATTATAAAGATTGTTATTGGTAGATGTTGAAAATTGAAATAATAAAAAAAATTGGATATCCATCAAAATTGACTTTATATTGAATTTTTAGATATATATATATTTTGTAACCATTTAGTTTATTTTGAAATTTAGATTAAAATTAAGAGTAAAATTAAATTATTATTATATTTAAATATAATATTATATATTTAAAATTAATTATCAACTTATTTATAGTTTTATTGTATTATATTTATAATTTATTTATATTTATTAAAAATATGATAGATTTAAATTGTATTTTTTAATTATAAAGTTTTATAATTTATTTTTAGAAATTTGCACTATAACATATTTAAATTGAACATTTATTTGATTTGATTTAAATTTTATATTAAATTAAAGCTAAAATACACACATATATATATATGTATATATATACATATATATATATATATATATATATAATTTTGAATTAGATTGAGTTGATTTCAACAGCTTAATTAAATCAGAATAAATCTTGAGTTCATTAATTAATGAACTTGAGTGTTTTTTTTTTAAGTTTCAATAAATTTAGTTTACCTTAATTCGATTAAATAATCAATTTAGATCTTATAGATTTTTAGCTAAATCCTTCTGAAACTAACACTATATTAATTGATTTGAAAGAAGAAGAAAAAAGTGGATGCACGAGGAAACTAGAAATGTGAGAGTATACATGTCCAAACCAAACACAGGTATATTAAGATATGATATTCAGACTTCAGTTTTTACTCTGTTTTATATTTTTCTTTTATTGAATAAATGTGAGAAATTTATTATTTTTGCTTAGACAAACCACTTTTTTCTTTGAAAGAGCATGAGCTTAGTAGCTAGAAAGGATAACATTTCCGATACAATAATATATATATATATATATATATATATATATATATATATATATATATATATATATATATTATAGAAGATGTAGTTAGTTTTGCACTTTAACAAAAATGATAGGATGATATATAGAGTTGAATTTAATTCAGATATGTTTGAATGTTTTTCTATAAATATTTTTGATATACAAAGAAAAAAAAGCTAATTTCATTTTGTTTTCTAAAAATACTTACATTGAAACTCTTCCAAATAATATATATTTTTTTCAATCTAACTCTTAGTTTAACATTAATTGTACATGTAAAGAAGCATACACTACACATTGTAAACACGTATCCATTCAAGTTTCAGACACATCACAATTAAGGTACGTATAGAAAAAGGTAGAAGAGAATATCGTGAAAACAGATAAAAAGTCATTGGGTTAGGGTTACAGATAAAAAGATATATATTTTTTTACTGAAAAATAAAATGTTTGAAATTTTATTGATGAAAGTTTGATTCTGACATGTGAAGTAATAACGTGGAGGTTTGAAATATTGGTCAAAGAGGGAGTGACATCATAACCTAGATTTTGTCAACCAGCAAATGTGAACTTGGTGAGATATGCCGCCAATTCTTTAACTTCTTACCTCATAAATTTCTTTCAAATTATTTTCCCTTATTTGGATGACCAACCCCTACTCAACAGCAGAACAGTATATATAAATCAAAAGGTAACAATTGAAATTTAGGGGCAAGAAGCTTTGGAGTATTGTTCAACTCAATCTAATTAAGAACATTTATGAACCCTTTTACTTATCATACTTTATTAATTAATAATTTATCTAAAATAATAAGTTTTTATCTCATTTTACAGTAGCTAATAATTTAAAAGACATTTTTTAATCATAATTAATTATAAATAACTTTTACAATTTTGCTTCACTTAGATTATTCGCATGACCATATTGATAAAAATTAAAAGTTAATTAGTTATATAATAAGCATATAATCACTTTATAATTATAAAAAAAAACTCAGAAAAATGCACATATGGTGAGTGGTCACATGACCATAAACTTTTAATCTTAACTGTTTATGCATATATAGTTATATAATCAATAGTTTTTGTATTAAAAAAAAATGTTCGACGATAACAAGAACTTGAAGAGAACGTATACGTGGGAAACGTGTTTCCTGACGCATGAAAGATTACATTGTTCAAAACGAAGGTTTGGTGTGTCTTAATAATTTAATTAAACAATATATAATCATGTATATAACGGTATATACCTAACATACGGAGAATGTCAAATTCTCATACATTGAGCAAAGTAGATCTCTTCTCTGTTGAAACTTCTTCTTATTTTAATTAAAGTCAAGCACACAGTAACAGTATATGTATATAAAGTTTCTACTCAAATAATGTATTTTACAAAATTGCTAATAACATGTTGTTTAACAAAAAGTCAATCAGATACTACTAGTAAATGAAATCATGTCAATTACATTCAAACAAAATTTCATCCAAAAATACAGTGTTAAAATGAAAAATATTAAAACAATATGAAAAAAAGGGTCTCATCAGAACAAGATTTCCCTTATTACAAATACTATAGAATAATGAGATATTTCAATTAATTAATGCAAATATTTTTTCACAAACCCTACTTGTTGCAAAACAATCCAAAAGAGAGGAATCTGACGCAGTAGATTGCTCGGCACACCAATCATCGATGAAGTAAACAATTTTTTTTATAAAAAAATAACTAGGTATGCAAAATAAAATTAAAAATATAATTTATCTATAGTTAAAAATAAATAGATAAATACTAAACTGTGGAATCATTTAGTTTAAAAGAAAATAAATATCATTTTATCGGTTACTACAGTCCGGTATATCATTTATTTATTTTTGCAACACAGAAAATTTATGAAAAATATATTTCTTATGTTTGTATTTTTTTTTATATCATTAAAGAATTTATTATATAATTCATATAATCTAAATAATTTAACAAAGTCTTAAAATAGGTTTAATAGAATGAAAAACCCAACAAAACTCGAAAAATTAGAATAAACAAAAATATTTCCTTGACTTAAATTAGATCAATATTAATTTAATTATAAGTTATAATTTAAATCAACTTACACCAAGCTAACTAATTTATAAAATAATAGTTATTTTTTGAATAAAAATAAAAATAATATCATGTTGTTAAATATATATATATATATATATATATATATTATAAATTAATTTAATAAGTATTTACTTATTTTATAAGTAAATATAAAAAATTATGTTTTATCAATTACTTATGAAATTAATAGTTAAAATAAATTATTGTCTTAGAAAATTAGAATAATAATAAATAATCAATTTTTAATTCTTATTTTGGAATAAATTAATTCATTTTCTTAAATATTAGATAAAAAATAAAGATTAATATTATTAATAAAACTTAAATTTTTAAATTATATATTTAACTATGTAAAAATTCACTCATTAGTTTGATTTAATTCTTTTAACTTAGTCCCTTGGATCATATCTATAAATAATAAAAAAATTCATAGTCATGGATATTTACAAATAAAATCCATCACATATTAAATGGATATGTTAAATAGATACTCACAAATAACAAATACGAGTATTTTAATTATATGTTTATAACGGAACAAGTACGATTGTCGTAATATCTAACCTACGAATACTTGTTAAAAAAATTATTTAATATTTGTTAAAAATAAAATTATGTTTAAAATATTAATATTATTAACTTTTATTTTTATACTGTAATTTATTAGAATTAATTTTTATAATGACTAATTTTATTACATTAATATTTGACGATTTAATTTAGTCGAATTATATTGTCTAATAAATAAAAAAACTGTGGATATTTTTTAAATGGATAGACACCAACCGTGTCCATCCCATGTCATCCATGATAAAATCAAAGTGAAGCGGTTCATTTATTTTAACAAACTCTATATATTAATCGGATTTCGTCTTTCTTTTAATCTTTTTAAGCATATTTTGCTTTCATGGAAGTTTTATAAGAAAGTGAAATAAAAGAAACTTTGAATTAAAATAATGGTGGAGCTGTTATTATAGTGTATCTTAATTCTGTGCCATATACACGGTTAAGACTTATTAACTGGTTATTTCTATTATTTAATAATTTACTGATTAGGAGTTGACTATAGGTTCCAAAGTCGTACAGTTATCAAATAATGATACTAAAGTGACAAAACAATATATTTCTCCATTTTTCTTTCCATCCATGAATCAATTCTTTCGTTATAAATAATATAAAGAATAAAAAATTTCCACTAAACTTTATAATGATTAATCATTCATCCACTATTATTTTAGAAATTTTCATGAAATTTCTTTATTTGATAGATTAAAGTTAATCTAACTATTTTTTTATAATTAAATATTTCCTATATATAATTTTCAAAAATTGGTTTAAGAAATATATTTTTTAAAATATAATCAATTTTTAAAATATATATACCACTTTCAGTCCTATATATATAAAATAGGATTATATTTTTTCCTAGTAGAATAATGGAAGAACTTAGTTTGGTTCGAAAAATGTTGAAAGATAAATCTGGAATAAAGCATAGTCATTGCTTTATTATTGGTATATATTAAACCATTCAAGTCAATGATAGATAAACTTTTATAATTTCTCATCTTATAAAGGAAGAAATAGTATGATCCAATCGACACATATATTGCTAATTGAGTAATGTTGAGAATTTTAATATCGTTTTAATAAAAGAAGTTTATGATCTAAAGATTACTGAACAACTAATATTAACAAAAATGTACTTATAATTAATAATGTTTTAATAAGGATTAAAAGGATTTACTTTATTGTTGAAAACAAAATGCTAACCTAAATTAAGCAGAATAGTTCTCCTAAAAATTTCCAAAGTTAAAAATTAAATAAAAGCATAGTACTAATTTAGTAAACTATTTAAATTTGCTTACAAGTGCCTCCTGTTGGAATTATTCGCTTTAGGCCCTTCTTGAATATATTGTTAATATAAACCTATGGTATCTATATTAACACTTCTATTAATATTATTAGTATATGAATTCTTCTTTTCTGTGAACTCTTTCTTTAAATTAATATTGAAATAATTATATACAACACTATTCTCTTAATTATTTGTCTAATTTTTTTAATTATTTGCTTAATTTTTTAATTATATATTACAGATACTATACAAATCAAATGTTATTTTTAATTATATAAATATATAATTGAAATATGTTAAGATATACAAGACTTAATTAATTCTTCTATGAGCATTGTTATTATATAATATTGTGGACCTAGAATTTTGTGAGAGAGTGTTGATCGTTTTCTTTTTGTTTTATTAGAAAAGGAAACTGAAACAATGAAAACATAAAAGTCAAACAAACACATGGATATATAGAATTTATCAGGAAGCATGGAAAATTAGAACTTGCCATTGACTGAGATTTGTGGCCTACATATTAAATAGCAAAGGTTAACAACAATGACAACTTTACAAATAAAAATAAAATAATTATTTCAAAAAAATAATTTGAAGTTTTAAAAGAAAAACTTGTCTCAAGATCCCTTTAATGATGGTAATACCTCACTATGTGATTAAAGTTGCATTATTTGGGCACAGAGGCGTTGCTGGTGGTTATGCAAGGATGAGTGGAAATTTAGTTGGAGATGGTAAGTTTGATGTACCAAAAGAAGTTGAATAATTCAAATTTGTTTATGACCCTTTCTTTGTTGGAGTTGCAAATCACGATATGTATAACTGATTTTAACTTAAATTTTTTTTCTTTGGTTTTATTCTCTTATAAGAAATCTTAAAAAGATAAAAAGTTGAAATAAAAAATTGTACCAACTCAATAATAGAGGGTATTGTGAAGTGTGGTGTGAATATTAAAGCATTTTTAATAAGAATTTTTAAATAGAATTGTTTAAAAATAAAATTAAATATTTTATTATAGATCTTAAAGTTAAATTATTTAAAATTTGGTTAGAGTTATTTATATAAATATTTTTTTTATTTTAAGTAATTTATTCAACTTTTAAATAATTTAGATGTAAAATCACTGTAAAATACTTATTTTTATTCCTAAGTAACATGATAATAATTCATTTTGGAGATACTATCAGGGAGTGAAAACCAGAAAGGCTTGATGTTGCTATATGTGCATAAAACTGTAGGTTACTTATATTAAACGTTTAGTTGTTTTTAAGAAATCTATATTTTAATCCGCATTAAACAAAGTCTATTTGTTTGTAATACTTTCTGTTCCTTGTTTTATACTGGACAAGAGGTGATAATAAATGAGAATGAAGAACAAAATACATGAAGCCATTTTACATTTTATAGCACTTACAAACATACATATATATATATAGTATGAAATTATTTGGATCCAACATCAGCTTCCCAATCCACATCATTCTCCATAAATGTGGGGGGAAAAACTAAAAAAAAATACAAAATTACAGTATAAAAAATCCATGTTTTTTAGTTATGTTCTTCTTCCATTATGCTATAATTGATGCTGCTGTTGTTGAAGGTTGACTAATTTAAAGTATGCTCCATTTTTATTCTCTATGAGACTTGAATGAGTACCTTGTTCAATTATCTTTCCATCCTGTAAAACTGAGATTTGGTCTGCATTTCTTATGGTGGATAGCCTGTGTGCCACCATAACTGTTGTTCTGTTCTGCATTAATCTATCCAATGCTTGCTGCACCACACGCTCTGACTCCACATCAAGTGCACTAGTGGCTTCATCAAGAAGCAAGATTTCAGGGTTCTTTAGAACTGCTCTTGCAATGGCTACCCTTTGTCTTTGGCCACCAGATAGTTGCACTCCTCGTTCACCTACCTTGGTGGAGTAACCCTCAGGAAGACCACTGATGAAGTTATGAGCATTGGCAAGCTTAGCTGCTTCGATAACTTCTGAATCAGAAGCACCTTCTTTTCCATAAAGTATGTTTTCATAAATTGATGTTGCAAAAAGAGCTGGCTCTTGTTGCACAAGACCAATGTGTCTCCTAAGAGATTTCAGATTAAGTTTTGTGATGTCTTTGCCTGTAAGAATATGATTTATCATTGTCAGAAGAATGCTTCATACACATTGCTTATGAATGCAAATGGGGTCAATAAGCAATCTCTATAATGACTCATGCATGTCAATCCATAGACTTCAATCGGATAAACTTCACGAAACTTGAAATGAAGATAGAAAGTAAAATAAATTGAGTTTTTTTATAAATTGAAATTAATTTATTCACCTCGATCTTTGAAGAAGTTAAATGAGAAAACATTCAGAAGTGCATACAAGGTTGTAGTTTATGGAAGAAATTCAATTCAAATTCTTTCATTTCGACAAGTATGTTGGAGAAGTTTATGAAGCTATTTTACTTTGGAAAACTTATGTGATAGTTTCTTTATCCTTTTCACCATTCATGGACTGAATAAAGTATTCGGAATTCGAATATTTTACCATCAATTAACACCCTTCCAGATATTGGATCGTAAAATCTGAGTATAAGAGAGATCACAGAGCTTTTCCCAGAACCACTTTGCCCCACTAGGGCAGCACTCTTGCCTGCAGGAACTCTTAGGTTAAAATCCTTGAAAATAATCACATCTGGCCTTGAAGGGTAGCTGAAATTGATTCTTTTGAGCTCAATTGTACCCTCCACTGTTTTCAATTCTTCTCCAACATCTCCGGTTATTCCTGACTTTCTATCCATCACTTCAAAAACTGAAGCAACCATCTGGTTCCCTTTCAAAAGGTCTGGGGCCAGGGCCAAAGTCTCCCCCATAGCCAGTGCTGTTACTATCAAAACCATGAATGACTTCATAATTGATTTAAAGCTAGCAAGCTCCTTTGCCATCAAAGTAGATCCATACCTGCAAAAGGTATACACTCTCAGAACAAATGTAACCATCATTTGGTGACATAGTTATCCTATAAGTAGAGCTATTTAACACAGGTAAAATTCAAAACATCTACCACAAGGCAAGGCCATAAGATGAGAAAATAAAGAACTGGGAAACGCCATAGAATATGCCAGCAATTTGGCCCCTTTTAAATGAGCGTTTAGAGGGATCAACAAGCTCATTAGCATAAAGGTCAAGGACCTTTTCTTCAGAACAAAATGCAGCCACCGTGCGTATATTGCTCACAGCCTCCCCAGCGAGCATGTTGGCTTTTAGATATGCTTTGCTTAAGTTGCCACCGTAGCCTTTCATAAAAAGTTTCTGAAATGATCCCAGGAAAGTATTAAAATACAAACATGCTAGATCCATGATGTTGAAATGTCAAATTAGAAGGAAAATCACCTCACTGATATGACCACTAATGACAAAAGGATACGTGGCTATGACAATAAGTGTTATTCTCCAGTTCAAGATGAAGGCAATAATAAATGAAGCAACAACCAAACCAATATTCTGTAACAGAATTGTTGAACGATCAACGACTATAGTTCTTAACAATGTTGCATCAGTCTCTAACTGTGACGAAAGCATAGAACTTGTGTTGTTTGTATCATCAAACCATCCAATTTCGTTCTTCAAGATAGCTGCACCCAGATGAACAAGGGAAGTTAATTGAGAGAGAGATCAAGATGTTTGAGCCCCGATAGCAATGTATGTAGTTTTTCAGCTTTATATATATATCTATAGATAGATAGATAGATAGATATATCAAAAGTAAAAAAGGCAACTTATTGAATACTGATAATACAATGCACCTTTAAAATATAATTCATCAGAAAATGGATTGATCAATAATATTATAGATCATGATTCATGAACATACAAAATCCTTAAAATATGTAACACTTTTACGAAATACTGGACTTTTTTTGGTACATTTTCATTCAGTGTGAAATTGATCGGAGTAAGAAGCTTTAAAGAAAACATATCATAGCAAGAAAAGTGTACAAGTGATCAATTGATAAAAATTACCTGAAAACATCATTTCTCTCACACGAAGGGTGAGTCGCTCTCCCATGATTCCAAAAGAAAGATGTTCAATGGCATGGACAGTGATAGTTATAACTGCAGCTCCACAGAAGAGGAAAGCAATTTTTTTTACTTCGCGACATGTTGTGTCCCAGTCCATATAGTATGATACAAGTGCGTGAGAAATTCCAAGTGCAAAAAGTGGCATCTGTGCTCCAGCAACAAATGCGCATAAGGTCCCAAAAACACCATAAACCCAGTCAGGACCAACCATGGAATACAGTCTTGCTGCTGAAACACGCCTTTTCTTGCTTGCATTTTCTGTTTCCTCGGCACAAACCCGACCAATAGATTCTTTATCTGATCGAAAACTACCACCAAGGCTGGTGGTTGTACGGGATATCTCTCTTGAGTAGGTTATGCTGCACTCAAAAGAAATATACCATCATAAGCAACATGTTTATGGAATTGTTATCCAAGTAGAAAATGTAAAAGATAATAGAAAGGATAGCATATAGAAACATTCAACTGCAGAAGGAGCTTGAGAATTCTAATGTCAGATTTCTCTATTTAGTCACTTCCACTCAACATAAAAGTTAGACAGATAAATTTAACATTTTCCAAATAGTTCATTACTGGATGGATATCAATACCTCATGTTGACACGAGTATTAAACTTTGTTTCTCCATCTCATATTTAAAAGTTCAACTTATAAGGTGTGCAACTTATATTTAAAACTTATTTCAGTCAATAAGCTTTTCTGTAAAAGCTAATTTAATTTCCCCTCTTTTTCTTTTACGAAAAAAAATAAGATCTTAATTTTTTTAAGAGGTACTCTAAATGTTTGTGTTGGTTGCTGAGAAGAAAAGCTAGAAAAAAGTTGGGTCAAATTCTACCTTAGTACACATGCAATTATTATTACTCAATTGCAATTATGTCAAATGATATTTAGTTTTGAAGTTCTAATGAAAATGAGAATGAAGTACCTTGGTTGGCGTCCCATGCTAGGACCAACTGATGGGAGGCGTTGCAGAGAAGCTGTCTCCTGGAGTTGAACAAGAGATGCATATACACTAGTTGGGTTGGACATGAGCTCTTCATGGTTACCAGTTTCCACAATCTTCCCTCCCTGTACAACAGCAATCACATCTGCGTTCCTAATGGTTGAAAGTCTGTGTGCCACTACAACAGTTGTTCTCCCAACCATCACACGATCAAGAGCCTCCTGCACACTCTTCTCAGACTCAGCATCCAGAGCACTCGTTGCTTCATCCAACAAAAGGATTGATGGATTCTTCACGATTGCACGAGATATTGCAATCCTTTGCTTTTGCCCTCCTGAGAGTTGTATCCCTCTCTCACCAACCTGAAAAAAAAAATATGACTTTGTATCACCACTATCACCTCTTGAGGAAAGAAAAAGTCCATTATATTTCCATGTTATGGAAAACCTCTTACAGAATATGCATAAATCAAATATCTTACCTGAGTTTCCAGTCTATCAGGAAGATTGTTAATGAAAGACTGAGCATCTGAAAGCTTCACAGCACGCTTTAGTTCTTCAAGGGTGGCATTATCTTTTCCATAAAGTATATTCTCCTTGATGCTTGTAGCAAAAAGGGCAGGTTCTTGATTAACCAGCCCAATTTGCTGCCTAAGCCATTTGAGATCAAGTTCCCTGATATCATTCCTGTCTAATAGTATCTGACCAGAAAGTGGTTCATAAAAGCGTTCAATCAATGATACGACAGTGCTCTTTCCCGAACCACTTCCTCCCACAAGGGCTACAATTTTCCCTGAAGGAATGTCAAGGCACAGGTTGTTGAATATTACTACATCTGGACGAGATGGGTAACTGAAACAGACATTCTTAAATTGGATGTGACCCTCCAATTTGCCCAACTTGCGACCAGTTTTTGAGCTTCTTTTGCTCACAGTGTCCCTCTCTATCATCTCAAAGATTGGATAAGCTGCTGCCTTTGCTCGAATAAATGCAGTGATATCTGGTGCTGCCTGTCCAAGTGACCTAAGAAACAAAAACATGACCTTCATACAAACCTTAATATAGAAAAAAATTTCAACACAAGAAAAACAAACTTAGATAAAATCCATAAGTGCAATATCAGTTATAGTTAGGTTGAAATAATAATTGGCTAGGAAATGTCATTATAACATTATAGAAGGTACACACACTGCAACACGTTTTTATACTACTATTAAATCATAAAATTGTTGTATACGCCAAATTAGTTGATTATTACAATAATTTTCTTAAACATTGTATGATTTCTGATTGGTTGATAATGACTCTGCATATAAATCAAGCTCTTGAGATTAAAGCAGCAGTTCTACTATGTTGTTTTCCTATATCTGTAGTAATATGGTAGATAAGTAATTTACTCTGGAAAACAACACCAAAATGAGCTATCATTGAATTTCAATATATCGGCCTTATCTACCCCTTCATTGGATGTGTGTGCATGTGCAAATTTCTGCATGAAAATCAAAACCCAAAAAATTCTATGATGCACAATTATTATAAACTCTTAAAGGATTGAGTATAGAAAGAGCTTACAGGCCAGAGATCACAACATTGAGCATGGTAGTGAAAGACTCGCCTCCATTGGCAATATTTTTGTGCACAACGATACTAGTGAACCAAACAAGCAAAGCCCACGATAGAAAAAGGACACAATGCATTGAGCCCAGGCCCAGGCCCTTTGCTAAACCTGCTTTTCTACCGTTTACGTAAGTCTTCATGAGAGCAGCTTTATATGACCTTACTGCTCTTTCTTCTCCTGCAAATGCTTGAACCGTTCTCACATTACCTATAACCTGAAACGCACAATTTATAGAAAAACTAGCAACACATTATTGTTGCTATGCTTGAAATTCATGTAAATAAGACAGTTTTCACTCTTAATTTAGTGACCTTAATTCACTTCCAATCTAATGTTCTGCATGAATTTCACCTATTAGTTAAAAAACATGTCAAATAGTTTAAGTACCATAGTTTAATAAACTTTGGCAACACCCTAAACAATCCAAACCATAGGTAGCAAGATTTTCTTTTTATTGTTCACAAGAAAGTAGAAGACAATTGATCATTTTGTTAAAACCGAGTTAATTAATTACCTCTTCAGCAATTTCCCCAGCTTTCACATAGGCTTTTCGAACTTTTGCAATAAGGCCAATTGTGACGTATGCATAAAGACCTCCAGCAAGGGCAATCAAAGGCACAATTGAAAGTGTCACTAGACTTATCTGCCATACTCTTACAAAACCAATAATAAACCCCGCTACAAATCGGCTTATGTAGTGCATGAAGTTCCCCACCTGCAAATTCCAAACTTCAACAATGATCAATCTTTTTACCAAAAGCGACTAACAGCATGCTGCTGTCTCACAAATTAAATAATTGTCATTGCACAATCACACCATCATCTATGATAAATTCGTTCATTTTTATAAAACCTGTTTTGATAGTAATTCTAACTATAAGTTTTATTCATGTACCAGAAATCACAACTCTACAGTGAGATTAGTCTCTGACAGAAGAGAAGAAACCCGTGACAAAATAAATTGGTTAATTTAGAATGTGCAACGGCTTTGTTACTGACAATATGTAATACTACAATAGGTTAAGTTAACAAGGTTTAATGGTCTTTTAATAAATATTGAATTCTTCCAATGTTAAAACAAAAATGACCACAAAACTGGCTCCATTATTTCAAATGGGTCAAAACCATAGAAATGGTTTAGGGAGGCAGTGTTATGGTTGTGGCTATGTGTTTGGTGAGTGGTAGATGCTTACTCATAATTGCATGCATACTGGAGTAAGTATGCATTTTATTGGAGGCACATGCTTCTCAGCTAAAAAGCACAAAACCTTAAAAACAACGCAACTATATGGACTGGGCGCATAAATGCTATCGAATGCATTAAATCCTCACTGTTCGATTTTCGCATATCAATGGTGGTGTCAGAGACAAAACACAGGCAGAAGAAGGGCATAACCATCAAATGCTGAAGTTATTGTTTTACCGCTTCGAGTGAAAGTCCCGAACCATTGCGCTGTTACCCAAAGAGCATTTATCATATCTTATTCAATGTTCCTTTTAAAAATATTTTTATTTTAAAATCACATATCTCAAAAACACTCTCGTAATAACAATTAATTGAAGTCTTACCTGATATTTTTATGAAAAATGATACTTTTCACAACTCAAATTCATACCACTCCGTTAAACAACTTTATTTTAATATTATAATAATAATTTTATTTTATTTTTATTTTTATTAAATCTATAAACAACTTTATTTTAATATTATAATAATAATTTTATTTTATTTTTATTTTTATTAAATCAGTTTATAGATTATTATATTAATAAAATTGAATTGTTTAAAGAGTTGTATGTTTTGTGGTTGTCAAAATATCAGTACTCTATTTTTATTCTAATTTTCGTAATGTTTTACATTGCTGATATTAAATTAAAAAGTTCAATTCCTTTATTTTAAAATTTCGGATTATTTCATTAATTTTTTTGAAACTATATTCATTGAAAAAGTGTTGTTTTTCCTCTTTCCTATGTTACATATTACATATAACTGGGGATTTTACTTACCTCTATATCCATTAAAGAGAAAAGTATCCTTCGTTCTCCGTTAGGTGATTTAATATTTTACCAAAAGTACATTATCTGAAGAAAAATTATCTTAAAAAAGGTTATTTATCTTTCTTGGTTTCGAGAAGCTGAAGAAGTGGGGAAGACGCATACATTAAAAATTGACCGAACAAAGGTGAAGGGACAATTAATAATGATTAATGAAATTGAAAAAGCCAGAAAAATAAAAGAGGTTGAAATTGACCAGGGAATGAGGTTTTTTTTTTTTTTACAATTTCTCAATTCAGATATATGATGTATATTTTATGCATACCTTTTCCGACAGTGCATCTTGAACAATGATAATGTCACTAGTGATGGCTGAAATAACCTCTCCTGTTGATGCCTCAGTGTCAAATAGGCTTATATCTTGATTCAACATTGACTTCAAATAAGCCATTCTCATCTTTGCTGCTTGACGTTCCCCAGTATGCATCCAACAAGCCACCTCTGTATAATCAATCCAACACCAATATTAGTTATGTACTATATATAGTTACTAAGATTTGACAAATTAGATAAACTGAGATTATACATGATTTTTGACTTATACCTGTCCAAGATGAAAACAATATTGCTACACTTAGATACACAAAATCCAAAGAGTACTGCAAAATTGAAACATGCAGCTAGTAAGATAATAACATGAAATAATTAAGTCCAAGTTAACCTTGATGAAAAGCATCATAGTGATGTTTTTTTCCAACCAAATAGTTACTACCTTGAAGATTAATTTGGAAGAGGACAAGAGAAAAGGTTGTTAGTTGTTGCTACAAACCTTGGCAACTTTGTGAGAGGCTTCCTTGGGGAAAAGATAGGCCAAGCCTATGACATTGATCAACTTGCCAAAAAAGATAAAGAAAACCGGAACAGAAGCACCATGTACACATGCCCCAATAGATCCAACGGCCATTAAGATACAGTCATAAAAGTCAGCAAAAGAGAAGAGTTTCAGCAGAGAAACTTTGTGTTCCTTTTTGCTTTTAGCATCCGCCGCCGAGTCACCGGAGAAGGTGCCCCGGTCAGACATTTTGGCCTGAAAGAGAGAGAAAAGAAAAAAAGGACAATCCTTCACTGAAAAGTCAGCAAAAACTAGCAGTAGCTAACACCAGAAGGTGCCCTGCAGCTGCAATTCCCGCTTGCAAAAGGAAGAAAGTGAAGATGAGAAGGGAAAGAAGGAGATGGGCACGTAGTGATTTTGATTGTGTTGTTGTGTAGGAGAAAGTAGGTAACGTGGAGAGAGTAGGAATGGTGTTAGGAGGTGGTGGATGTGTCATAATATACAAGGTAGAAAAGAAGATGGAATATTTATTATCACCAGAGATTAGATAGAAATGCAAGGCTCACATTCAACTTATTAAGCTATAGCAATATTATTAACCTTAACATAATTATAATTTATAATATAATAATATAGTATGTATATTTATTCAATCTTGAGTGTTTGATTGTGTTGTTACAGTTACAGAACTCTTACTTGGGTCATTGCGTGACTGGTTCATATACTGATAATGATGAGCTGTGACTTTTGCAGTGTATGCAAATACACTCTTTCTTTCTCTCTGTCTGCATTAAATTGCATTGAGAGGTAGTTGTTGGAGTTTGCTATATGTATGCATGTTGGCTCCAAATAACTTGAACTGGCCTTGGCCAAGTCGGTGACGAAGACTCTACTATCTCTGTAACTGCATAAGGAAAATAACTTGGAAAATCAAGAGGGAAACCATTCTCTTCATTTCTATCACATAAATGTCATATGAACGTAACAGTAGTTAATGCAAATAAGGATATACTTATTTCAATAGTTTTGAAAAAAAGAATTAAAATATTTAAAGATCTGAGAAATACTTTTTACTTTTGTTGAGATCGAATCTACGTGTACGCATTATATTACCTCAACTCATGACACTCCATAAACTCCAGAAGAGTTGACAAGGTCAAATACCTAAACGTAAGGTCAAATACCTAAAAGTAAGTTTCTGATACACATCTTGAAACAATAAATCATACGTTGACTCAAGATAAAATTATTATATTTCTACACTTTAAGCAATGTAATATTTATCTTTATAAAATATTCATTCTCATGCAATACAATTTAGTTCAACTCAGTGTACCTGTAAATATAATCAACATCATTATAAAACATAAAATCTTTTTCATGTATAAACATATAAATAATCATTCAATATTATATTGAATCCCTAGTGGTAATTTTTTTGTTCACCTTTACCCCAACTAAATACATGATTGAAATGAATTTTTACTGGTTAACATGAAAATTGATAAAAACTAAATAATAATAATAATATCCAATGATTAGTATTATTTGACTTTATTTATTGTTATGAAATAATAAAAGTAATAGTTGAAAAGAAATAAAAGAAAAAAAAATCTAACATATCCCTAATTTAATACTTACACGCATAATAAGTATACCATCATGTCCATGTGGGTGGGTGAGGGGAGTGATTTGAAAGGTACAACATCTAAAACAAGTTCTAAACCACAATAAATGTTTCTTTTAGCTAAATTTTTGAAAATATCTTAGTACAAATGGGTCGAGGAAGCGAAACTTTATGTGATAATCTGAAATTAACATGTTTTTTAAGGTATAAACAGCTATGAACACTTTTATCAAAATTCTCTAATAGGATATTCTATTGGAAACACACCAAGCGTAGAGCAATATACATATACTAACTCAATTATTTTCAAATTTATATATAAACAGTTACTTATTTAATATTTTTAAGAAAAAGGTTACATAGCTTGAGAAGAAGCAACACGTGGACAGAGAAAGAAACATGCGAAGACATATCCTTTTATGCAAAAAGGTTACATGGGTGTATACAGCAGAAACTGTCACTCCATACCATGAAAAATGTAAAGTGAGCGAACATTTGGATGTTCATAACATCTTTTACATGTACTTTCAGAACCCTTGTCCCATACCACTTACTGTTTTCTTCTTTATTATTTGACTACCAAGATCAATACATGCTCAAAAATCAATCATCTAATTTTATTTGTTGTCTCATTGGCCATTCCAAAGTGGATCTTTTCACAAATTATGGCAAAACTCCATTTGGGTTTCACTTCAATTGTCCAATGCAACTTTAATTGCCTCCCCCAACCGTTTACCTATATTTTTTAATGCATTAATAATTGCTTTACTTTGCCCTTCTTTTCCACTATTCCATCCAATACTTGTGACACCAATCACTTTTGGTTCATATAAATTATTTTTGTGTTCAAATATTTAGATATATACCTTACCACAACATCAATCAATATATAATAGACTAAACGAACTCAAGGTATCTTTTCAAACATTTACACTTTTTCCTCGAATGGGTGAGAAAAGAAGAAGTTAGAAGCGCATGCATCACATATAACCTATCCAAATAATTGTGGCACATGCATAGGGTACTATTAATTACTACTAATTACTATTAACAACGAACATATCCAGCAATATAGAGTTTGAGAGATGCCTAATGTTGTTCTTAACAGTCCTATTAAGTGGTGAAATGAAATGTGAAGTAGGATTTAAATATAGCTTATACAAAGAAGTTGATTTTAATTTTATTTTTTTAAAAAGAAAAATAATAAAAGGGCACATCAAATCATACTTTTTAATTAAAAATACAGACATGACATGTTAGAAAGAAGAATATTGAGAGTTGAATGTTGGTGTTGGAGAGAGGAAAGTAAGTGTATGAAGGGTATGTTGATCTTGAAGAAGGAACATAAAGTGATGATAATTGTAGAAGTAATAAAGAAGATACACAAATAGTTGAGCGATTGAAGTTGGGGTTGCAATAGTTGTTGGGAAGCTTTTAATAACAGTGAAGCAACCGAAAAATTGATGCTAATTAATGCACTTCTGAACCTCATTTGGGACAAATTTCTAAATACTACTAATTCTTCCATTATCAATTAATTAACAAATAATTTCAATTGCTAACTTAAACATATTTATTGCTTCCTTCCTTCAACAAAGTCCCATAGGGCCCTTCATGGAGATTACACTATTGCTTTATGGAGGTTTAATTATGCCATGCATGTGATGTAGGACTAGTAGTTTTTTATATAGTTTCAAGAGAAAAAACACAAAGTTAATCGATTCCTTGATTTTGTTAACGTTCCATTTTTGTCTTTATAAAACTTAGAAATTCTAGTTTATTGTGATAAATTATTCAATTAAAAAAATATGTCATTTTCTGTAATGGGTTTATATATTTATTCATGTAAAATTTTTGGGTGTTTATTTTTCTTAAAATGTGTTTCTAGGGAAATAAAATGTTATATATGGTCTTATTTCTGTTATTATAACATTATTATAATTTATTATTATATTTGAGGTATTAAAAAAATTTATTTTTCAATTTTTTTATATAATTAACATATATTCATTAATTTTTTTAAATAATAACATAATTTAGTTTATATCTAAATAAGTTATATATTTAAAATATAATAAATTCTTTTATATATTTTAAAATATTTTAAACTAAGATAAATATTTTAAAAATTATAAATAGTTTGTTTACTTAATTAGATAATGTATTATTTTTTATGATAAATATAGTATAATTTAATATTTTTAATAAATAGTTAACTTTTTTTTCATATTTAATACACTACTGGGTTCACGTTGATATAATCAACTTTTTTTTCATATCAATCAATAAATTATTGGGTTGACACTCATATTATTGATAATTTAAAATAAATCTTTAACTATATTTTAAAATATAATTTTTCAAAAATTTAATTAATTTTTTATTTTGAATAAATTTGTGAGAAAATATTTAAATAAAAAAAATACTGTACTATAATGATTTGTCAAATTTGAAATTATTGTTTCTAAGTATGCGGTGTTAGGTGAGTGTACATCCTACAATTACACTGTTTAACAAGAATTCCGAAATATAGAGGGTCTTAATTAAAGATTAAGAAATATAAGTAAAATAAGACTTAATATCTTGATGTAATAATTGGTATCAAAGTTTTTTTTTTCTAATAATTAGATTGATATTTTTTATGTGTGTGTTAAATTTGCTTATTTAAAATAAACAGGTTTTATTTTTTTTGTTAAGAAACAAATTATTACATGTTTCTTAGATAAATAACTCTGTTAAAAAAGTTGTTTATTTTATAAATATTTGTTTTTTAAATTTAAACAAAGTGATTAATGTTAATAATATGTTTTAACATATGTTAAACACATTAATGTTTCTGCTACTAATTAGAAATTTGGTAGATGCTACAAAATGGTTTTCTCCTAAAAATATATCAAAACTATTGCAACCTGATTTTCATGAACATTTCACAGTTCTCTTGTCCTAATTTTACTTTAAAATTTAACGAATGGTACTTCCTATGTGGATCCTCTTGCAGTACCATGTAAGCATAAATGCCAGGAAATTCACATCTTTTATCTGTGCGTCCATTAATAAAAAATTAATTAAATTTGAACAGTGATATCAAAATTTAAACTTAAGAAACTATGCAAAATATTCGAATAAATTCAAATAGATAATTGTGAAAATTTATATGCATCTATATATTTTTTTTATTACTATAGTGATAAATATTTACATCGAGAAATTAAGAAAATTTTAAATAATTTTTTGTAATTTTTTTTTTTTTCATCTGAGTTTTTAAATATAATCATGTATTATTATTTTAGTCTCTAAACAGATATTAATATTATCACTTGAAATCACATTTTATTTTTAATTTTAGATTAACATAATTGGCAAATTAGACTTTTAAAATTTTTATTAATTTTATAAACTAATATAATAATAACCTTATACACTTCTAGAAACTAAACTGCTGGTTTACTTTTCAAATGAAAAACGTAATTTTTTGTCCTTAACAAATCCAGAGTGAGTTTATTTTTTTCATTTATTTTTCCTCTTTTCTCTCATTTTTCTAGGAATCCTAGGTTCAACATTAAGAAAAATATTTATGGTATTATTAAACATTAATTTTCATTTAAAAAATTTAGGTTTTGCGATAATAAAATATTCTCATTATTTTTTTTCAAAAAAAAAATCAGCAACTTAATTTAAAAAAGAAGTCTCGTTTAAAGAATTTATATAAATAGACTTTTAAAAGATGTAGAAAGATAAATAAATAAATTTTCTTATTTTAAATAAAATAATTCAACCTTACATAGTAAATAATAATCCTTATGTTTAAAAGTATAATATAATAATACCCTCTTCAAGTAATAATAACAATCTCTCTGCATACTCTTCTTTTTAATAACCAGGTCACTAGCTTCTCTACTTGTGTCATACATGCATTATATATAAACATTTAGATTAAAACAAATAAATATTTATTATCAAAGGAAGTTTCTTCTTCTCTTAATCTCTTCTAAGTCATTTTTCAAATTTAATATTTCAATCAATACTAAATATATGTCAACATAATGAGATTATGTGAGTGGAGTTTAGAGGTGAGTTGAAGAGAATAATATCTCCTTATAATTTATATCAGTATTTATAATTTTAGTGTTTTTAAATTTAATGATTTTTTTAATATTGTAATTTATATTAAAATTTAAGATTTTAATCCTAATAATTATTAAATATATTTTATATATTTATAAATTTGACATTTTTCTCTTTCTTTTTATATATATATTTATTATTGTTAGTAATATATTACTTGGATCTTGTGTTATAAGCTACACTTTCACAGTTAGATTCTTTAATGTGGATGCTGATATATTTCTATAACTTTGTGAAACTAAATATAATCACACAATATAGTGACAGCGATGTTTTATCAAATTGCTTGATTAAGTTTTGCTCTTTTTTTTTTCATCATTCACTTAGATCTAAAAGTCTTATTACAACAATCATTTTAAAACAAAACAAACCACAACTTTTTTCTCAAGCCAAGAGGAGATAAGAAGAATTTCCCTAGTGAAGTGGTAATCAACATTAATTGCCATGTGCAATTTTCTCGCACAGAATGTGCAACATTTAGCTTTGGTATGCCCATCATTTATTTGCATGGTCCTCACAATCATGTGATGAAGATATCATGACTATGACTATGATGGTGTGTAACTTCATATCACTTTGCACCGCATCAACTCATACCATTTAAAGATATAGTAGAACTTATATACTGAGTTTAATGTTTATTATTAGGTCAAAAATTATATTTTATAATAAGAGAATAATTTTTTTGATTTAGAAAGTAATAATTTAAGAGTGAGATTTGATTATAAGAAAGTGACTAGTATTTAGTATTTGTCTTGTGCGAACTGTTTAATTGCTGTTCAGTGGCAACCACAGGAGTAAAAACCTAGTTATAGATACAAGCCATGCCAAAATACACAACTTGGTGAATAGAGTGGGGTAGAGTAGAGTATAGTGTGAATAGATTAGACTTTATCAATATGAATTTATGATCATATGCTATGTGGGTCACATGTTTAGGTTCCATCCATAAAGTCCAAAACAGAAGAAGTATGTATGAACTTGTCTTCTTAAAGTTCCATTCTGTCTGTGTCAAGAATTTATTTTAAATCAGTAGCTTGTAGCATCAATTGTGTGGGAGGGTAAACAATAATAATTATTATTTTTTTTAATAGTAGGTAAAATTGCTGCATTTTTTCAAAATAAAAGGAAACAAGAGGAAGGGGTAGTCAAACTTAGGCTTTGTTCCAGAAGAGAGAGACCTACAGAGCCATGGCTATTTGTGTGCAAATGTAGGGGTAGTGTAGTCTTGCTTTTTATTCAAAACTGTATAATAATAACTGAACTTGAATGTGTTTTAATTGTTTAGAATATGATACGTGAAGAAGATGTCCATTTTTCATGTTGGAAATTGGTGAAAAGCAGAGAGATTATTGAATTAGAAAGGAAAAGGGTGGAGGAATCAATCACAGTATTTATATTTCCCCCTTATAATAAAACTGGTTTTCTAAGACGGCAAGTTTGGTTTGTTCCATTTTCACGATTAACTTCTCTCAGAAAAGGAAATATTTGAAATTGGAGTAATTGATAAGGATCAAACCATAAATAAATAGAAGAAAATGATTGTTTAATATATATATATATATATATATATATATATATATATATATATGTATGTATGTCGTCCCTAATATAAATTAAACAGCGTGTAAAAAATTCAAAACAAACAATTTTATTTCTATATTTTTCCTTTATTTATTAAAATAAACTTTATTTTTCATTTCATTTTTTACCTATTTCTTTTTCACACCGACCAATGTTGTTTTTTTCTTTCGGTAACTGGTGTAAATGCTACCAATGCATTGTTACTCGAATTTAATAAATATTATTATTTATAAATGAATAAAAATAGTTTGTTACATGAATTTTGATAAATATTGTAATTTATAAATGTCTTAAGACAAGAAACTAATAAATAAAAATAGATTGTTATAGAAATTATAAAAATAGATTATTATAAAAATTATGTTGAAAATACATTGGAATTCATGATGAGAATATATTAATAATATTTTTAACAAAAAAATCATTTTTTAATTAACCAATGCCCTAACATTTACTTAATTTGTTTAGATTTCTTAATTATATCTTATTTTTACGTCAAGACGTGGAAATGTTACAACTGCATGCCGCCTTTGTTTTCAAACAACAAGAACAGAAGTAAACCAAGTGTTTTCATAAATGTTTTTAAAACCACAATGCATAAACTACCATAATCTCTATGCAGTTCGTGAATGTAGAACATTTGTCCACAGTTTTTTTGTAATGTCAATAAACTTAACTCAATTTTTATCATTATTTAATAACACACAGGGGATAAGGGTAGAAACTTGGTAACAGAAAAATTACCATAAGAAGCAATCAAATAGAAACAGCAGTGGACCGTAAAACTTCAGCTGTAGAAACTGTACAACTCTCGTTGTCGTCCAACCAACATCAATGATTGAAATCATTCTATTGATTCTAGTAGGAGATGGTTTACTAAAGTAGATCCATTACTCTCAAACCATATTAATATCTACACCAAGAAAAATCATGGCTAAACAAAAATAACCATATTGATACAGATGTATAAAGCTAAAACAACTGGTTTGCACTTTGCCCTTCATTCTTCCCTAAAAAAGGTACATCTCCTTTAAATTAAACTTGTATGCATTTGAAGCAACTGCATAATATGAAAGAGAAAAGAGTAATCTGCAGCCCAAGAAAATTGGAAAAATCCAACCAAAATTTTTTAAATTATAAAGATGTTTTTTGGATTAAAAAAATAGAAATCAATAATCTTTCTGAGAATAAACAGTATCAATTCAGTCTAACGCCGTCACCAAATTCAAGATATGTATGTTGTAGTTAGCAAGAAAAGCATGAGAATTAAGTGATATACTACTACAAAGGAAAAAGGCTTTAAAAGTTTAGTAATTAGTAGTTATCGAGAAGCGCTTGTATTCCAAATCTCTTCGAATAATCTACATCTTCTTATCTTCTTTTTCATTTTGAAAAGCAAAGAAAAGCAATCATGTAACATATAAAAGCACTTGGCAAATGCAGAGGGAACTTCAATATAACAAATAAAACTATTGAAAGAACCAGTTTGTTACATGAGTCTACCAACATAGGTAGCTCGGGGATATTGCCGTTGCAGCTGTGGCCACTGAACAAAAAGTTGATCAGCCATCCGCAACTTGTATAGGAGCAAGCCGCTCAAGGAGAGCCTTCTCACTCTTGCAATACTCTCAACATAGAAAATGGATGACCATCTGATTCCCAGTACCTGCACAGAAGGTTGAGCGACTTCAGTAGCATTATAAATTATCAAATGAAGTAGATAAATTAAATTATGGAAATGATACAAGAATAATGAAGGGAATAAGAACCTTAAATATGAATGCAATTGCACAGAGGGGAATGCAAGTTCCAGGTCCATTGCAAAGTATCTGTATTGTAGCAAATATAATTATCTCAAATTGTAACAGAGTAAAAAGTAATAATAGAAGCAAATAATGATTGGCATGGGTACCACTTCAGGTCTAATTTTAATCATTAGCCACAGAGCATGCACCATTGCAATTAATGTAGTCCAAATTGAGGTTATATACGATTGACCAACTTCCCTACTCCGATATATCTTCATGAACTGTGCAGTATCGGTGACCCTTGTTTCATTCTGCAGTAAAATTTATTTCTCATCAGAATCTGTAAACCAGCAACAAGCAGAAGTGAAATTCAAAACCCATCAAGCTCTTATAAAGATTAACATATTGCAAGTATGAATAGAAGAAAATATAAAACAGCAAGTTGGATACATATATATTCTCTATTTCTGGTCCCCAAGTCTTCAACTGGAAAAGGTTCAAGAAGAAATAAACATAAAATATCGATACCATTAAAAAATGCAGACATGAATTTATTTAAAAAAAAAAAATCCATCAAGGTAGTAGCTACTAGCTATTAAAGAATACAAAATTCCTGTGACAATAAGCTATGATTACATTCCTAGATACCTCTTGCAAAAAACCTAGTGACAGCACTGCTTTGGGTCTACCTATTGCAAACAACGTAGTCACGTTTGTAATCATCCTGCAAAAATAATTACTGTCACATCGAATTATACAGGACCTCAGCCAATATACTATACTATCCCCAAACAAAAAGAGTTCCATTTATTTCCCTGTAACCACCAAATGACAATATATTATGACAAAACATGTTGAGCACCAATTGCTATAGGCATTACATCATTTTGATCCATATATAGCAAAAAGAGGCATCATGTTAAACTTGGAGTACCTTCAACCTTTTTTCCACTATTGTTGTTATAACAGCTTGTTTATGAGGGGAAGAATGGAGGATGTTCTATTTCAGGATCTATATTATTTTTTTTATTTTCTTGTAAACAATGGTAGTGCTTGTACTTTTATATGAATATATGTTTTTAGTTTTGTACAAAAAAAATGTTAAAAGCTATCCAATTTTATATTGTAGAACACCCCTCCCCCCCCCCCCCCCCAAGAGTATGAAAAGGTTCTTCTTGAGACATAAGTAAAAAATAGAACCTGGGCAGCCAGGGAGTCTTCCAACAACTGAGCTTTCTGAAGACTCATATTATCGGTAGCAGCTGCAATGTAGAATCTTGGATTAAACCTATCTTTCTGTAACACTGCCAATAGATTAAGCATCTCAGCAGTATGACCACCTACAGCAGATGAAACGATAAATTTGTGGAATTATCAAGAAATATTTTGATAAGGATGGAAAAGTAGGGAAAGTATGTTAAAACCTGATCCTAAAATAATAAGGGTACTGACAGGTTTTGAAGCCCTTTTTCTCAAGGCACTGCGACTGTGATATATGACATAAAGTAGACGAACCAAAATCAATGAGACAACAAAAACGGCACTTGAAAAAACAGCAATTGAAGACACATTAGAGAAGCTGCAGCCATTGCATTTGTCCATCAGAGGTAGCTTCAGGATTTCAGTCAGAGCTAGGCATACATCATCACAGCTGAATTCAGGAGAAAATCAAGGCTGTATATATGATTAGTTTCATAAGAAATTAAGCTTGCGTGTTATACTACCTACATGATAAAAAGGGATGCATTGCAATAACAAACAGAATAAAGAAAACTAGATTTTACATAAGCCAGTTAGAACACAAGACAAAGGGCACAAACAGAAATACAATTAAATGTACATACACACACATGAAGTTATGATGATGATCTTGCCATATCTTATTATCCAGCCCCCTTACAAAACCCAGCCACCACGCCCTCTCCCCTCAATTTTTTTTTTAATATAACACACACACTGAGAAATCCTTGAACTCAACTATATTATCCTCATGATCATGACATTTAGCAAGGTATTTATTTACAACAAACAGATGTAACTTCAAAGCCTAATAGATCTTATTGGCATTTAATGGGGAAAAAAGGTCAAGTACTACATCAGTTTCAGGTTAATACTATGAAGGAAATACGGTCGGGGTGGCTGGCAATGAAGGCTGCTATCTGAGAAAAATACTCACAAGACCTCAAAATAAATATAAAAACCACTTTTGAAAAGCTTGAAAGGAATGCTGACAAAATAACAAAGAATGTAAAAATTAGCCAAATCCCAAAAATTAGGGGTGGAAACCAATAACCATATCATGTGGTTCAGTTCTAGAGTACCAAACTATTTTTTACAAAACAAGTTTGGAGTTTTTCAGAACCAATTTGAAACTGTTTTTAAAAACCGGGAACTGGTTGGTTGAAAGTCCGTTTTAAATTGGTTCCATTACAAAACTGGTTCTGATCCAAAAACCAGTACCAACACCATGAACCAATAACCTGGTTTTAGCACTGGTTTTAAAACCTGGATTTAGGTTCAGAACTAGTTTCAAAATCAGTGTCGAACATTCTTTTTCCCAACAAAACCATTTGTAGATGGAACAAAAGGGAAAATATATCCTGTACTGAAATTTCGTTGTCGAATCATGAATGTGTGCATCAGGCAGTTCAATGGTGCGATATTCGCTATATAAACACACCATTGCGGCCTATGGCGTTGCCAAAACAGGCATCCCTTCACATGTTGTAGCGTGAATAACTGCCACCTCTTAGCACATCATAATTGACGGATCAAATAACTCATTGACAGTGGATTTCAGCACAATAGTAGTTCAAAACCATATTTCAACTAACAAGGAAGACGGTGTTCAGGCAAAGTGATTCTAGTGAATAAATTCGATAATAATACTACAGTAAATGAATTCAAATCAAACAACGACGATTCACAATCTCTGTATTTAAATAATAACACGCGGCGAGTAATAATAAAATTACAAAAAATAATTTAGAAAAATAAATTCCTGTAAAAAATAACAGCCCAATCTATGAACGTTTTACTCACACTGCGATCCAATAGAGAGAGTAAAGAAAACAGATCGCGATGAAGTGAAGGCGCAGATGCGGATCTTACCGAGGACTCTGTTAGCGGGATTTATGGCGGTGTAGGAACGCCTCTGTTATCTGCTCTGCTCTTTTCAGTTCCAGGGTCTCGATTCGAATACAGAAATCGTATTTTTCCTTTGAAATTTGCTACATGTTTCACAAATTTTAGTAAACTATTCCAAACGAATCATAAGTACATCGGTATATTTGAGAGGATATACTTCCCAAGAAAATGAAAATGGAAGAACAAATCTTATGTCAATTGATAATTTTAAGAGAAAATTACACTCAATTTTTTTTTCATAAATAATAATTTAAAAAATTACTCAAATATACAATTTCCAATTTATTTACTCAATTAAACTTGTACATAATTTAATTTTTTAAAACAATTATTTTTTCAAAATTCTCGTTCTACCGGTTAATTCTTCGATCACTCCAAACAGTTTTTTTCCCTTCTTTCTTTCTCGTTCTATCTTGTTCTTCTCTTCTCTTCCAAACAAAACCTTAGATTTCGCCGCTGATTTTGAAGTAATTGAATTGGTGAAGTTTGGGAAAGTGATGTATTATTTGCAAGGGATCAGTCTCGTCTTCGTCACCTTAATGGTTCTTTCCCTTCCATTTATTATTTACTTACCACAGAAGTTTCACCTCCACATAAGGGAAGAAATTTTTGTGGATGGGAGATTTAAAAAATCGGGTTGAATTTGGATTCTGATTTTTCGGTGCTAACTTTTTAAAATCATAACAAGAAAATAGTTTTCAAGAATGAAATTTTGTGTGTGGATAATAAATAGATTTAATTGAATACTAAATTAATTAAAAATGTTTTTTTAGATAATTTTAACAAATATTATTTGTGTACAAAATTCGATAAATAGTCAAATAATAAATCATCACTATAATTTATGTCTAAAATTTAATAGTCAAGTAATAATGTTTTTCACATATTAGAAAAAATAACAAAAATTAAATAAATACATAAGTCTGTTATATTTTCTCATACAAATCAATCTTTAAAACGAATAAAAACAACCTTTTAATCTCTAAAAAGTATAAATACTTATCATATATATTCTTTTCAAGGAGTAAAGTGTATTATAATTTTAAATTGTAGAGACCAGTGTGGAGTTTTTATATTATCAAAGATTAACATATCTGATTTTTTTTTTAGGGATAAATGTAGATTTTTCTTTGCTGAATTCAGTGAGGGATAAATAACCACTTACTTTCGTTGAGAAAAAGTTTGATTAATAAAAGAATATTTAAAAAAAGATTGTATATCAACAAGAGATAGAAATATAAAGATTAAGACATAATAAAAAAATTAATGAATAATTGAGAGAGAAAAAAATATATAAAAATTTATATAAATTATTATACAATCGTAACATATAAAGTAATCATATTAAGAAACTGAATTGACCATATTTAAATAAATTGCAATTTGAACCAACAACAAATTGATATTTGTTATACGATTTGTTAGTGTAATTTGTCATTTATAATTTGACGGGAAAGTTAAACCTAGTTCAGGCTAAACCCCACGTTGAACACAAGTAAAAGACGAGGCAAAACATAAGGCGGCTTGTAATTACATACAGGTCAAAAGTTCTATCATGACATGCTACGCTAGAACAACCTAACCTCACACAAAATAATTTGAATAATAATCCATGGTGACATAGTTCATCAGACTGCAATAACATTTCTCCCATTGGGTCCACCATGAGAGGGAAACATCAAGGTGAAGCGCAAAACTCATTCAGCGCTCCAAGCGCTTCTGCCCCTCACCACAAATTGGGCCCACCAAGCCACCGCAGACCTGCAGGTAGGAACCGAGGCCCTCATCAACCAAACTTGAAATACCGTGTCGTGAATAAGTCCGAATCGGTTTCTTCCTCCAATTCTCACTCCGTTAAGGATGTCAATGTTGATGCCACTGTCGCATCGCTAAATCGCGATGGCGAGGACGGTGGCCTTGCCTTCGAGCTCAACACAGTCGATAACATCGATCGCGTGGCTCGTTCCAGCAAGGTCGAGGAAGGAGGCGGCGACGACGACGACGATGATGATGGTGATGATGATGATATTCAGACTAGGCTTGATAATTTGCTCCGTAAAATTGAGGAACCTGAATTGTCCGAGGAGCAGATCAGAATCAATGATCAATTGCAGCAAGATGAGGTAGAATAACACTATAGGATTTAAATGTTCGATAGCTTGGTTTCCGAGGATTTTTGACAATATTGTTTTGGGCTAAACTATCAGAATTAGAGTTTTATCTTTGGGACGAAACTTAGATAGAACTTCTTAGGCATCCAATGCGAGTTTAACGAGAATTGTTTAACAATAAAATTGAACATGAGAATTGTTTAACAATATTGAATATTTTATTACAGGTATCACACTTGAGTAAACAGGATTAGAATTGCTTATTTAAATATATTTTTTTAATTTTAAGCAATTTTGTTTACATTTAAACAATTTAAATATATGATTCATAATAAAATATTCATTTTAAAATATTTATTTTTATTCTTAATAAATTGGACTGTTAATAAAATATTCACCAAATTCGCGTTTAGGTGATTTTGGTAATGTCTCCAGTAGAATTGTAGTTACACCTCTATTTGCAAATTTTGCACCCAAGTTAAGAGAAAACTTGGAACTACTTCCTAGGTGCTTTTAGTAATGTTCTCTACTTTCAATTTATTTCAGTAATTATGTCAATTATTAATGTAAACCTTTATTACAAGGATTGGTGAAACTTTAATTTGATTGGAGAACAACACCAAAAACACCTCAAAAACTGCAAATTTTTAAAAGATAACATAGGTTACCAGTTAAAACTCAATTCATTGAAAAACAGCAACAACAAAAAAAGACGGTTAAGAACTTTATTAGGTTTGGTTGTATTGATTTGATGCAGAAGTATTATGGCATGTGAATCTATGGTGCAGATACTCGTGGTGGAGTCAATTTATGGAGAAAATGTTTTCAGCCTTGGTAGATGGAAAGGCTTGCGTTGTTTTCAGGTCTTGCTGTAAACCTAATAGTTCAGTTTTGGCTTTGTTCTGTTACAATGCAGATTTTCTGAAACCTAATACTGATTCTTTTCTTCTTGCCATCCTCACTCAGATACATATAAACATTGATGTTTTGGGTGAAATTGCGATCACTGCTAAGTTGAACTCTCTTAATCAAGTTGAGACTGTAAGCCGCAGTTCAGATGAGTTCTTATACACTTTCAAAGTCCAGTATCTGCCACCGGTTGTTTTGACTTGTTTATTACCAAAGTCATACCCTAGCCGCCAATCACCTATTTTTACACTCTCTGTTAAGTGGTTAGAACCTGTGAAGATTCTGAATCTGTGCTCCAAGTTGGATTCAATATGGGCTGAACAACAAGGGCAGGAAGTAATTTACCCTTGGGTAGAATGGTTACATGGTTCTTCGCTTTCTCATCTGGGATTTGATGAGGAAATCACACTTGGGCCTTATGGGATGAATCTTGTCCAGGATGAGCGTGTTATTTCTGGAGCTGAATGCTTTGATATTGATATTCCTTTTTTACGAAGTTACAATGACCAGAGACACAATGAGAACTTTTTCAAAGAATTACATCAATGTAACATTTGCTTTAGTGAATATGCCGGTAATTTCCTATTTATATCTGAAATAATTTGTAAACATTATTATTGCTCTTCATAGGAAACTCTTACTTAGTCTTATACAAAGATGCAACTAATTTTGAATTTCAGCTTATACCATCACAATTCCCCAAAGAGGTTACCTTCTCTTGTTGAGACTTAGGACTGTTAGTCTGATCATCACCGTACATAAACAGTTTATTTGAACTTCATTGTTGGCAAATCATCAAAGGTTCAACTAATTGTAATGATTATGGCTTTATTCCTTGGCAACCCATCAATACATAAGTTTTCTTTGGTTATTTCATGTTCAAAAGTGATTTGGCTTATACCATCCAAACAGAACTCATTTTTCCAATTTCTTTTGGTTTCCCAAGTTGATTATGCTTAAAATTTCTAAACTAATTATCCAACCATGCACATATCTGACTAACCTTATATGACTAATATGAAATGGTTCATTTTGTTCGATGAATCCTTGTGTTTAGCATGTTTTCTTCTTAATTAAGTTCATGGCTTCATGCTATTTCAATTCTGATATTGCTTTTGACCTAAATCCATCAGTCTTTGGCTCTTTGCTCTGGTGGAAAAATGGATCTTACTCCATGTCCACTTGAAAATTCCTATAACTTTTGCCCCAACTTTTTATATGGAAAAGCTAATGCTGTATCACATCACCACTTGAACTAATGCAGTGCTACTTTTTTCTTACATGCATGGACAATATCATTTGTTGGCTTGTAAAGACATTTTCATTTCGACATGCTTTATTATTTATATGACTTGATCCTACTTTTTTCCATGTTTGCTCGAATAGAGTTAATATTGAACATGGTTCTTATGTCTGCCACTTTATCTTCCAGGTTCTGAGTTTATCCGGTTACCATGTAAGCATTTTTTTTGCCTCAAATGCTTGCAGACCTTTGCCCAAATACATGTAAAGGAAGGCACTGTTAGTAATCTTCAATGCCCCGAAGCAAAATGTACAGTAATGATTCCACCTGGCCTTTTAAAACACTTGCTAGATAACACAGATTATGAGCGCTGGGAATCCATGATGTTAGAAAAAACACTTGCATCAATGTCTGATATTGTTTATTGTCCAAGATGTGAAACCCCCTGTATAGAGGATGAAGACCAGCATGCACAGTGCCCAAAATGCTATTTTAGCTTTTGTACTCTTTGCAGGGAACGGCGCCACGTTGGCATAGCATGCATGAGTCTAGATATGAAGCTTCAAATTTTGCAGGTATGTTATTTGGATCCAAAATTGGATGAATGGTTTAGTTGTCAATTGTTGCATGGACTAAGAGGTATGAAATGTTTTCTTGGTATATACTTTTATAACCCGCATTTACTTATATTTTAAAGACATGATATACATTAAAATGTAGTTGAATGATGATGAGATTTTTTTAAACTTAATCTACTTATGAGAACTATTGATCCAATGTTAGATTGATGGAACTCAATGTTAATACAAAATTATTGAGTGGAGTAAGTATAATGATACTTACTCTTACTCCTATAGTAAATAGATCTCCACAGCTCCACCCATTTGTAGCTGCTTTCGAATTTTTAATTTCTCAATTGCTAGCTTAGTCTTCATCCTTCTTTTTTTTCATCTGCTTGAGGCCAAAAGGGCAAGGAGATAAAACTGATAAGGGAGATTGATTGAATATGAGGTGATACAAAACAATGTATGATACATGTACTATTTATAGAGCTTATTATCAAATGTGATGGATAATATCAAATGAAATACAATCAAATCAATGGTGAGACAGACAAATACAATGGAGAAGCTGTAATCGAATTGGGAAATTACAAATCCCAAATGTGGGTGTAATCAACAATACTAAGATAGGCAAAATACTTAGCCACTAGCCATTGTCGTTAATAGTGTGTATTCCCCATGCTAGTAATCTGATCAGTTTTCTCACCTTCGCTAATTACTTCTTTCTGGCATAGCTATTATTGGCCCTGCCTTGCTCATATACATCTAACTAGCCTAGCTCTGTTATCTGGCCCCATTTCTGACTTATAGTCTGTTGTTTCTACCCAGTTCCTTCTCTCACTGTTTGTTGCTCTCTCCTACTTATTTTGTATTGGGATCCTATTGTAATATGTGAGACTTGAGTCTCCTCTTCAAAATGAGATTCTAGTGTGGGGTTTTGTTAGGCCATGGGCTCTTCAGCTTCAACAACTAGCTTTTGATGTGGTTATCCTAATGTTTTTATTAGTGGTATCAAAGTTGGTTGCTAGTATCTTGGAGAAGGCTATCATGGAGGAACTCACAAGAAAGGTTGAGTGAAGTGGCATATATAGTGTAGTCAGCTCTCAGGCGATGCTATGATATGGACTTTGTGTTCAAAATCTCTAGCACTGTCTTGTAGTTTGTTGGTCATTTCATTGTTATGATGTGAGTCTATAATATGTTTCTAGTTTCTATTGTTCTTGATGTTCAAAAGGCATGTACTTTGACATGTGTCTTTCTATTATATTATCGTTTTTCTTGATTTTTGGCCGTAACTATTTTTTAAAGAAAAAGGCTTCCAGTTTTCTGATTTTTGTCCATACTATAGGACCGTCAAAATTCATCTCAATTAAAGGAAGATCAAAAGCGTAGGGAACGTGAAAAGATTAATGAAATGCTCAGTATGAAAGAAATTCATCGTGATTCCAAGCTATGCCCTTCTTGTGACATGGCAATTTCTCGAACTGAAGGTTGTAACAAAATGAAATGTGGTAATTGTGAACAATACTTCTGTTACCGCTGCAACAAAGCAATTGATCCATCAGATCCGTATGGACATTTCAGGTATTTGGCTTTTTAAAAGTAGAAGCACCGTCATAATTTTTTTGCATGATTTGCTTCTGCCAAGATTCGAATTACAGAATTCTTCTGGAACTCATTTTTTTGTTCATTCAAGGGATGGTTCGTGTGAGCTGTTCCCACGAGAAATGGTTGAGTCCTGGGAAGAGCGCATAAATCATCGTCAGGCTGTAGGACAATTACAGGCTGAGCTTTTTCCGCAGCGTGGCTCCACTTGTCCTAATTGTCGTCAATTTAATGCAAAGGTAAGTAAAGCTTTCTGTTTGTTTCTTACAAAACTGCTCATTTTGGGGTTTTAACAATTGACGAATCCCTATTTTGTTGTTGGAAGACAGTTTTACTGTCATCACTAACAACTTTCTCCATTGCTATTTTGAATTTATCAACAGATTGGAAATAATAATCACTTGTTTTGCTGGGCATGCCAAAGCCACTACTGCTACTTATGCAAAGAGATTGTCAGGCGCGGCACCAAGCATTATGGACCAAAGGGCTGCAAACAGCATTCCGAGGGATAGTATAAGCATAATGCCTTTGCTTTTTTTTAATTTATTTTTTGTTTGTTTTTGGCACTGTAAAATGCCACAGGGTCAATAAATTCTTCCAGATTGGTGAAGCCATCGTGATTAAATGCAAAGGTCGAAACCATCTGCTAAATCTTCACTCCAGTGAATTTCAATTCTTTTTTGCAGCAAAATTAAATATATAGATAGGATGTGTTTCAATTTCATACATTTTGTTTTTGCAAGAGGAAAAGTGTAAAAGGGTTTAATTTTACGGCTATAACCGGAGTAATATGCGCCAATTATATTTTATTTTTCATTTTTTGTTGAAAAAAATCCTCTAGCTCAAATATTACAACTTCAAGTAATCACGTAAGTTGTATTAAGTGTTCGATATCTGACTTATATGTATGGCACGGGGCATGTGTATCGATCGGTCTTAGCCCAGGATACTAGCTGAGAAAATTCTGCCCGTATACTTTGCCCAGGATTTGATACTCCGTAAAACTCATTTAATCTCCGTCACGTTTTATCATGTTGAATAAATTTACGGAAAATTCATAACATTATATATTTACAATTTTATTTTACAGATGTTTCAAATAAATTGTTTATTGAGGTATTAATTATATTGTGCTCAAGTAACACTTAAAAATAAAATAAAAATATACAAAAAAATTAAAATAAAAGTAAAGAACTATATTATATTTATAGTTACAACATGTATACTTTTTAAGATTGTTGTATAATTATATTGTTTTCAAATAATACGTAAAAAAGAACAGTAAGAATTATATTATATCAATATTTAAATGTATACTTTTTAAACTCTGTTATTTAGTCATCGTATAATTTAAATAATTTATTATTACAATAATGATTTATTTTATATTAAAGTATAATAATAAAACCTTATATATATATATATATATATATATATATATATATATATATATTAATAAATAAGTAACTGCAAGTACAAGTTTAAGGTGAGTAGATCTAATATGTGTCCTTATTCTACTGCAAAAAAGTTGAGTAATACCTGTCTGTATCATACCTGATCGAAGCAGGTATTTTCTGTAAAATTTAGGATGAGTTTAAGTAGGTACTTGTGAGATTGAATTTACTTCTTATATCTAAAAAATACTCTCGTTAATTTTAGAAGAGTTACATTAAATATGATATTTTATCAGTTATATTAAAATGATGATTTTAGTTAGTTAATATTGTAAATATTTATCTTGTACTTTATTTTGATCCTATGATTATCTTGTACTTGTTTGATAAAATATAAAATTAAACTTCTATTTATATTTTATTATGATATTTTGGTTCAATCTTTTATTGTTTAATTTTACGTGTTTTGTTCCATTTTCTAAACCTAGTATAAAATCCAGTTTATCTCATTCTAGTATATATATATATATGACAAAATGATAGCAATAAAATTTTATTCTTTTATCACCACATTATTTTACGAAAAATTTACTTATTTTAACTATTAATTCTTTGGGCGATTGTGAAACTAAAATAATGTTAATTTATTATGAAAAGAAAATCATTAGTACATGAGAAATGCATCTAACAAGAACTCTTAATTTCTTAAAATGCATTAAAAATTATTGTAGGTGTGTGAGGTTTATTAAGTAAGGAGTGAACTTTATACAATTTATAATTTTTAATAAATGTTAACTTCTAGTAGAGAGTGGATAAAAAAAGTGCACGAGAAGACAAATTATTAACTTCTTGGTTTATATAAGTTACGCCGATATAAGTATAAAATTATTTATGATAGTCTAAAATATAATCAAACTTAGTTAATTTTAGTCGTTTTAATGGGTACTTTCAAAAATATTTATTTTGGTTCTAATAACTAAATGAATAAAAAATAAAATTGATAAAAAAATAAAAAATAAATTAAAATCGAATTTTTATATATAATATTTTTTAAATTGATTCAATTTTTAATTTTACAATAAAAAATTAACTCAAATCCAATCAAATCATAATTATAATATATATATATATATATATATACTAAAATTAAATTGATATTTATTTAAAATAAACCCATTAAAACATAAAATATTATATAGAATAAGAAATTACAAGTATGACTTGTGAGTGAGTCAATAAAACACGATTCTTTAATTATTTAAATTTATTTCAACAAAAGAAAATATAATATAATTATTTAACTTTTAATTATGTAATATTATTTTAAAGAAATCCAACAATATAATACAATATTGTTTTTAATAACTGAAACGTAAGTATAAAATGACAAAAAAATCTATTACAATAATAAATTTTATTTAACAAGTATTTTAATTACAAAATTTGTCCAAATTAAAACGCAAATTCATGGTTTAGTTTGATTCGATTTTTTTTTAAGATCAGAATCTATGTTGAAATTTTATGTTTGATTCAGATAATTTTTTCATAAAAAACCAAATCAAATATATATTATACAGATATTATAAAAAAATATTAAAAATATATATGTAAATCTATATAATTTATAAACATATTATAATATATTTAATTAAAAATAATTGATAAATTTTATTTAACAAGTATTTTAATTACAAAATTTGTCCAAATTAAAACGCAAATTCATGGTTTAGTTTGATTCGATTTTTTTTTAAGATCAGAATCTATGTTGAAATTTTATGTTTGATTCAGATAATTTTTTCATAAAAAACCAAATCAAATATATATTATACAGATATTATAAAAAAATATTAAAAATATATATGTAAATCTATATAATTTATAAACATATTATAATATATTTAATTAAAAATAATTGAAAAAATTAATAAATAATAATAAACTTAAAAAAACTAGATTATATATATTATTTTTTTAGAATTTTTTATGCAATATATCTTTAAGATCCCATCCTGGTCTCACATTTGAGTCAACCCTGCTGGGTTTATAAGATAAGGAATCATTAACTTGTTTTGTTTTTTTATAATGAAGAAATCTCTTTATCTAATTTGAAGGAAACATGGTTTTAATCACTAAAACATGGGACTTCTTCTCTTTCATATATTTTCTCCTTTCAAATATTTTTGGTTCAACTTCAGAAAACACTTATTGTTTGTTTGTATAAGAAAACCCTATATATTTTTTCAACTCTTCTATGCTTACTTCTCCAAGCTGTTATGCGCCCACTTTGTGCTTGTTTAGTTATTCCTATTGGGTATTGATGGGTGTATCTTCATGTCGTTAATATGCGTTTTAGGGTGTGTTTTGCTCCGCCGCAAAGTGCTCACCCATCGCCCATGCTTGTTCGGGTTGTTTTTCTCCTCTGCTTCTTCTGCATTAATCTCCGAAGACCACGTGTTCGATGAAAGTCCAAAATCTTTTGCTAGTTTTGTGATTAATAGGCATACGCCCCATGTTGCCGCAAAAAGTAGGGTGTATTTTCCTTTAGTGTCTAGGGTGTTCAAATCACTGAGTTGGAGTGTGGCAAGAGAAGTAAGGTTTGGGCGTTGGGTTGAGAGTCATGGGTTTTCTCACTCAATCAATTGCTTTAGGATTATCGTTCATACGTTTGCTTTGGCGGGGATGCATTTGGAAGTGTTTGATTTGCTTAGTGATATAGTTGGGTTCTGTAATGAGACCAATTATGATATCTTTAAGTTGTTTTCAGCTTTGGTGGATTCACCCCACCATTTGGAAAGATCAGGCATTGTGTTCGATGTGCTCATAAAAGTGTTTGCATCCAACTCTATGCTGGAAAATGCTATTGATGTGTTTGTGAATGCTAAGCATGTTGGGCTTGAGCCTGGTATAAGGACTTGCAATTTCTTGTTCAAATGTTTGGTTGAAGCGAATAGAGTGGAGTCTGTCAGATGGTTTTTTAAGGAATTAAAGGACAGTGGTCCATCGCCAAATATCTACACCTATACAATCATGATGAACTTTTATTGCAGTGATGCAGATATGAGACGGGCTGCTGTGGTTCTAGGAAAAATATACCAGATCGGAGAGAAGCCCACTGTTGTCACTTATGGTACTTATATTCGTGGACTTTGTAAAGTTGGTGATGTTGAGGCAGCGCTGATGTTAATTCACAACTTGCACAAAGAAAAACAGCTTCTCAATAGTCATTCTTTTAATGCTGTAATTTATGGGTTTTGTAAAAGAGGTGAAGTGTGTAAGGCTTTGCAAGTTTTGGTAGAAATGAAGAAGTCTGGGATATTACCAGATGTTTATAGCTACAGCATATTAATTGATGCATTCTGCAAGAAAGGGGATGTAATGAGCAGTCTTAGCTTGATGGAGGAAATGAAACGCTCCCAGGTACAACCATCCATTGTTAGCTACACCTCCCTCATCCATGTCCTTTGCAAGAAGAATCTGATACAAAATGCTGTGGAAATATTCCGTAGTATTGGTGCTTCTACTATGAAATATGATCAGATTATTTATGAAACTTTAATTGATGGATTTTGCATGCAAGGTGATGTGGATTCAGCCAAAAAGCTTTTGAAGGAGATGACCAGCTATGGATTGGTTCCAACTGCTTTTAGTTACAGTAGTCTAATTAAGCTGTACTACAAACTAGGACTATACGATCAGGCATTGGGTGTTTTTGAAACCATGCAAAGTTATGGTATTTGGCCAAATATTATTGCCTGCAATTATATTATTGATGGATCTTGTAGGGCAGGTTACTTCAACTTAGCCTTGACACTGTTGGAGAACTTCGAAAAACATGGACTTAACCTCAACCCATATTCATATAATGCAATCATCTATAAACTTTGTAAAGAAGGTTATCCAGAAAGATCATTGGAGCTCTTCCCAAGAATGCTTAAAAGAAATGTACTTCCGACAGTTGTTAATTACAGTACTCTTATATCAGGCTTTTCCAAACAGTTAAATATAAAAAGTGCTCTGAAGTTATTCACAAGAATGGTAGAAGTGGGAATCATTTTCAACACTGCCACATATACAATTATTATGCGCATACATTGCCATAGTCGCAAAATGCATAAAGCATATGGCATTTTTAAGGATATGAAAGAAAGGGGTTTGCATCTAGATCAGATTTCATATTCAACTTTAATAGCTGGCTTTTGTAATGATAGAGAATTTAAAAAGGCCTGGGCATTATTTGGAGAAATATCAAGGGAAGGCTCTTCGCCAAATGTATATACTTATACTTGTATGGTTGATGGATTTTGCAAGTCAAACCGGATAGATTTGGCCACGTGGCTGTTTGATAAAATGAACAGAGCTTTAGTTGTTCCTGATGTTGTAACTTACACTGTTCTCATTGCTTGGTACCATAAGCATGGGTACATAGATCAGGCATATAAGCTATATGACATAATGAAGGAAAAAGGTGTGTTGCCAGATGATATAACTCTTAATATTCTAGGTCTGAAGGCTGGTGCAGTTCAAGAAGGTTAGGCAGCTGTATCAGGGCTTCCATTATATCCAGTTGGTATGTCTTTTGACATAATTGTTTATATTTGACATTTTTTTATCATATGACCTGTTATTAAACTTGCCTGTTAATTGATAATCCACTTGAAATAGTAAAGTAATTATAAAATCCTATACGGCTGTATCACTATTGACATCCACTTAATATATATGTTTTTTTTGTGGTGGGGTGGGGATTAATATAGTTATTTCTTATTAACGTACTATTTGATAAGCAATTCCCCACTAGCTAGTTATTCTGTGCCTAATATTTGAACTGACATTTCCAAAGTCAATAAAATGAGATGTGAAACACCACACATAATTTGTTTATGCATATGAAAATTCACATATAGTCACACAATTAGATTTTTGTTTATGAAATATAGTGTGTGACATTTTCAAAACAGAGCAGGAACTACTTGTGTAAAACTGAAATCGAATCCTATTCATCATCCTTCAACTTATAGTTCAATGGAATTTGAAGAATAACCTTGTAACCCCTTAAGCATTCATATGTGTTTAAATTTTGTGTGTAGACAATTATATTTTTCATGACTGGTTCCTGCTTGTTTTAATTTTTGTGAATTACCAAAATTCTTCCCCTGTTACAATTATAAATGGACCCATTTTATCATCATGTTGAAATATTCTGTAGAAGGTGGTGGCGGTTAAATGATGAATGAATCTTTTTGTTACAGAACTAATATTAATGATGATTATAGTACTGAAAGTATTAATAAAAGTTACCGTTAATCTATTATCATAATTGTCAGCATTTTTGCTTGTTATGTGTGTCACAGAACAAGAAGATTGAATATTTATTTCTGGCGCTGTGATCAAAAGGAGACATATTGGGTGGCAAAGAGAGTCAACTTTGGTAAGTTATATGGGATGCGAATGCGATTAATGTTGCAAATACCACATGTCCTGCTAAGTATAGCATCATTTTGGAGAATGCTCTGAGTTTTTGATAAAGTTATTTTCTATCATATTTTCCGTTTGATTATTATTTATATGTTCACTGTCATTTTGTTCAGGCCAGGAAGATGAATTCGCATTTTAGGAAAACGCTGAATCATCATGCAGAAGTGGAAGAATGGTAAGTATAAATTATAATCACTACAAAAATGGAGGTAGTTCTCTATTCATATTTATAAACATCTAGGTTAATTTCTACTAATACTTTACATGTAAATTTGGAGGCATATTGAGAAGGTGAACGTAAAATATAATTTTATGAAGTCAAGGAGTTGCATAATTATCATATAGGGATACTCTATTAAAAAAATTTAAGATTTATATTGAAATGACTGCTGGGTTGTCCGGTTTTGATTTCTTAAACTCTTTTTCCTGCACTATTGGAGAAAAGCTAGCCCATTTTGCAGTGTTTTTCTTATTGATGTACCTTATGTTCTTACTATAAAGAGGCACCTTACATTTGATGATTGTTTCAAGAAGCAATTTAAACTTCCTTGACAGGACCAACAAAGTTTGATTTTCTTTGCCTGTGAAGCCTCAACATTTGCTGAGCAATTTTAGAATGCGATTCCTGATATATTAATACTTTTGTTGCAGTGTTATATATATTGCTGAGTAGTTGTAAACCTTAATGGAACACTTCACATAAGCATGATTGCGGCCAAATTTCTGCATTTGGGTTCTTAGCCTGGTGCTTGAGGAGAATGCTCTGTGCCCTGGAGTCCATGAGTTAAACCCGAAGTTGGGTTTAGTATTCAAGTAATAATCATATTATTCTTCTATTGGAAAGCCAGCTTCATTTCTCACATTGGAGATCTGATCTTTCAGAATGCATCACCACCATCGCCTTGCTACCGGAATACTTGGTATCTTTCTTTTAAGCTGTACCATATACTAGTCCGTGCAACAGAATGCTGCTATGCTGTGAAAAACTTATTCATTTATGTATTTCAAAAGTTAGTGACCAAATGATCGGGCTTTTTGTCACCTCAAAGGCGACACCGGAGGCAATACAGCAGGAAAGAGGATGATAAACACTAGACAAAAGCCTGGAGATTTCCATTCCCTGCTTAAAGATGTCATTTGACTAATTGGGTGCCATGTTCCTGCTTGCGTTGACTTCGTCCCGAGGATAAGCATGGGTGCAACTACTTCTCTGGTTAGATTGACAAACTTCACTTTCTTCATTTTATCAAGAAAATATTGTGGACCAGCTGGCCAGAACTTCTACCTTTTTTTCCCTCTACAGAATTATGTGTGACTATTTTATGAGTCTCTGAAGGGTAATGTGTGTAATGTATGTGAGCTGTAGTAAGAATGAATGGATATAAAAGTAGAGGGGGATGGAATGAATATGGACAACTTAAATCTAACAATTAATGATGTTTAGTTTCATCATTCTTTTCTCTCCTTCGCTGTCCAAATCTTCCATTTTCAATTTGTTTATTCGTAATATTTCATATATTTGATGAAATTGGCTTAGTGTCCCCATGAATAGGTCAAACGTAGATCACAGATGATGAAGTCTGTTTTGTACAGATACACCTATAATAAATGAGTTTGCTCTTACGGATTTCTCAACCCTCGGTGTTAATCTGGTTAAAACTACACGAAAGATAGAACAAAATCAATGCAAAAACTAAAGGCAGAATGAATATGTTTAATTTTATTCGCAATTCTGTTCAATGTGTTGCCTACTTACTACCTTCCTTTCTTTGGCAACATCACAGGTCTAGATGGATTTCGGGAGAAACCAAGGCAAATGTGGTTAGGGGAAGGAGATATTTGTTGAATCTGATGTCATTTTCTCCAGAATTTATATATTATATATTTTTTCATTTTCTTAGGTCAAGTATTTTTGTTGAATGAAATATGTTCAGAGTTGTATATATGTATGAACAAGGGATTATTCCAGTACCTGTATATTTGTTTGCATAGGTTCTAGAACGGTTGAGTTATTAATAACTTAATGTTTGCTAATTATATTTAATAATTTTAAATGTGTGTAATGAAATTAACTACTAATAATTAATTTACAAAACTTAATTTGGGTAAACCTTATTAGCTCGTACGAATATTGTTGGGACAGAGAACATATGAGAAACATATTGCTAGCTCCCATTTATGTTGTTAATTTCAGTTAGGTGCAAGTAACATTATATCCACAACCTTAGTCTTATGTCATCGTTCCATGTTTATATAATGAGAACTGAATTTACGAAGCAGATTCAAATCAGGGAGGGGGAGAGTGTAGATTTTGCAAAGATCTTGTTGCACCCTTTGAATGTGACAATCGAGTAAATACAAAGATTTTCAAATGTTTGTCAGCAAAAAGAATGTAAGTGTGAGAAAGAGAAAGAAGAATATAAAAACAAAACTTGTTGTAATCCTTGAATCAAGTTACTATGGTTTAAACAATTTACTGTGTATTGTGGGTATGTGTATGCGAGTGTGTCAAGATCTTAAATGCATTTTTGTCTAATACTTTATGAAATAGGAAGATTTTGTGGGGAGATATTTTTTGAATCCAGAACTTTTTGCTTTACATACATACTCCAAGCCAACAACTCACTTGGAAAATGAGCAAGAGTACATTGTCTGAAGATTTAAATTATTATTAAATGAAATAGTAAGTACATTTTATATCTCGAAAAAATAATAATAAATACTCTCTTTTTGTAGTGCTCATTTACTTTCAAACTGTTCATGCTTTCACATTTTTCTATTCCAAAATACTCTTATTAATTATTTATATTAATTACATCTTTTTTAAAATAACTAAATTTCATCTTGTCGAGAAATACATCACTTGCAACTTATTTAAAAAGAATATGACAACTAAAAATTTACATATTATATTAAATAAGTATATTTTAGTCTAAATATATTAAAACTTATTAAATTCTCTTTAATTTGTGTACATTAATCTTAAACATCAATAATTCTAGCATGACAGAAACGCAGTTTATATATTATTTAACCATTTGACAAAAAAGGGGAAAAGAAAAGAAAAGGAATTTAGCTATAAATATTAAATTTTTGAATAATTTGTATACCTTTTTTTAAAATATTCTTAAAATTATCGACATTCATTTTTTTATTCTCTTTCTATCTCATCTATCTTTACTTAAAGTACTAACCAGAATTAAGTTTAACATAAAATATAAACAATAAAAGAAATGAATTTTATCAAGAGAAACGTATCTCTATTTAGCATCATGTCAAATTAAATTGGTTCTGGATATAGAGGAAAAATCTCCAGTTAAACATTTGTTAAGTTAGTATGGACATTATTAAATCACATGCAATACTAAGTTCCCTCCTTAGTGGGCTATATCTTCTGATATAGTAAAACCTACCTACACTGAAAAAATAATAATATATTATTAAAAGGTATTGCTAGTATTTGTGTAGCATGGGAATGAAACATTTAAAAGTATAAAATAAGGTGAAGGTATGTAGGGTGGATGCAAAATGAGAAATTGGAGTAAGGCTGAACCTCAAAGACGGTCACCGTACCCTTCTTTCAATCCATTTCCTCCACCCTTTTTTCTTTCATTCTCAATCTCATTTCTACAATCTAATTAATCCAATTCCCCTTTCTTCTCCAACAACTTAGGGTTTCCTTTTTTCCGACAATGCCACGCGTATTTCCCTAATTACCCTCTTTTTATCCTCATCTTTTTTTATTTTTTTTTACTTAAATTCAATTTCACGACATGGATAGCGGTGCGTCCGCTCCGGCGGCGCCGATTCCGAACGCGAATGCGCCGCCTCCGTTTCTGAGCAAGACTTACGACATGGTGGAAGACCCTTCCACCGACGCGATCGTGTCGTGGAGCGCTACCAACAACAGCTTCATCGTGTGGGACCCACCCGAATTCGCCAGAGACCTCTTACCCAAATACTTCAAACACAACAACTTCTCCAGCTTCGTTAGACAGTTAAACACTTATGTGTGTTTCTTTCTTTTTTTTTTTCTCCTTTTCCTTTGCTTCACTCCACTCTGCTAATGATAGGTGTTTGATATCGATGGTGTTGTCTTGTGTGTTAGTATGATTCTTAAGTTTGATGCTTGTAACTATTTGTTTGCTATGTAATACATGGAGGAGTGCTAAGGTGGGATAAGGATTTGTGATTTTGTTTCTGTGTATGAAAATAATGGCGGCACTTTTGATATCTTATGCTCCTCTTCTCAGTAAATAGATGAAGCAGAAGATACAAATAGACCAACAAAGCAGTTCCCAGGTTAATCATTTACTTGATTATTACTAGTTTAGTGATGTATTCTATATCAGGTGTCACAAAAATTGTGTAGAGTATAGACCTGTCACCTGACAAATTGTTGTGGAGAGGAATTGGGGGTCTACGAAAAGATTCTTGCTGTGAAGTTGTTTTGAGATCGACATATCGTAATATGGTTTGCTGTTGTTCTTTTATACAATTACGTTAGCCCTTTGTTGCCAGAGGATGCGTTTATGTTTCTGCATAGATACTTGATTAAATTTTGTGAAGCAGAAACTTTTGATACTTGATAGTGCTGTTATCAGTTCAATTTTTATAGGAAGAATGATAAAGATGACCAGAGGATTAGGATTTGTAAACAACAAGGAAGGCCTGCTTGATAATTGATTGCATTTAAGAAGATTTTGCAAACTTTGCAACTATGTTGTGGATTTAATCAGTTGTCATAGAGGTAGGTCTGTGTGTTTCGGATAGTATGCAGATGTTGTACTTATATGAAGCACAAATACATCGCTTGATTGAAATGTTGCAGTTTTTCGAAATGTTCCTGACCCTAATACATGTTAAACACTCCTCCTTAGGTTCTATTAAAAAAAAAAAAAAGAATTGCCAGCTCAGAAACCGGAGCTGACACTTCTATAAGACTTGGATACTTAAGTCCATACTTCCATGTGAGTATTATTTTAAAAAACAAATTTCAAACTTTAGAAAAGTCAACTTACAATATAATATAAAGTATTAAAAAATCATGTCTTTTGCTTGTTCTTTTGTTAGGCTTATTATCATAGAAAAAGTTGAGTATGTAAGAATATGCAAATATTGTTTATTAATATGCAAATATCATTTCAGTTTAGTACCTCTGTGTGTATGATCTTGCATATTGCTTTTAAACTACTAGCAATTTCTTATGATAGGATGATAATGTTTATGTAGTCTCTTGCAGAGTTAAGCATAACATATAGTATCAAACGTAAATCAGGGTTGGAATAAGTTATTTTCTGTTTTCCGGGTGAACCTAGCAAGCTACTAGTGTAATTTGTTATTGACACCACATCTGATTTGATGAACTCTGTTGGAAAAGGAATGTGAATTATTTATAAGTTTAATGCCTTTCTTCAGACATTAATAATTTAGTTTGTTTTGGTGGAGATTAGCTTTGTGGTATTTAATTTCTGGCAGAATATTTGAATAGGCTTAAGTTGTTGATACATGAGTTCCATTGCTTCTTATTGCAAAAATTAATTGACCTTAAATGAGTTAACTAATAATAACTATTGAAAATAAGTTGTATACTTGGGATTGTCCCCAGCCCAATTGAGTAAAGAAGTGGTAGATTCCTTGAGTAAAACATCTACATCCTAGATTTTCCCCTCATTGAACCAGGGTCGAGACTTGAGTGCATAACATTTGAGCTTTCATTGCATGTTTGGTTCCAGTTGCTCTTGTGGAGCAAATCCACATGACCATGATTGGAATTAGATTTTTTTAGTGGTTAGACTTTCTTAAATACTTTTGCTATATTGTTGTTGCACTTTGCTTATCATTTACATCTATTTTTTAGGTGTAGCTATCCATAATTTACTGTTTTATATTTACACTCAGGTTGTGTGCTTTTTCAGAGTGTGTTGATGTCTGTCCTGTCTTTGTTGCCTCTCTAACATCATCAGTTTGTCATCATTAAACAGGGTTTCAGGAAGGTCGATCCAGATCGTTGGGAATTTGCAAATGAGGGTTTTTTGAGGGGTCAAAAACATTTGCTTAGGAGTATAACACGACGAAAACCTGCCCACGGTCAAAATCATCAACAGGCTCAGCAACCCCATGGACAGAATTCATCGGTAGGGGCATGTGTTGAAGTCGGGAAGTTTGGGCTTGAGGAAGAGGTTGAGAGGCTTAAAAGAGATAAGAACGTGCTCATGCAAGAGCTTGTAAGGTTGAGGCAGCAGCAACAGACCACTGATAACCAGTTGCAAACAATGGTTCAGCGCCTTCAGGGAATGGAGCAACGACAGCAACAAATGATGTCATTCCTTGCGAAAGCCGTTCAGAGCCCTGGATTCTTTGCCCAGTTTGTACAACAAAATGAGAGCAACAGGCGCATAACTGAAGTCAACAAAAAGCGTCGGCTTAAGCAGGAAGGTATTGCAGAAACAGTGCCTGCTGCTAATCCAGATGGACAAATTGTTAAATATCAACCTCTGATTAATGAAGCAGCAAAAGCCATGCTTAAGCAGATCATGAAATGGGATACTTCTCGTACAGAATCTTTTAATAAAAACCCTGATGACTACATGATTGGTGATGCTTCATCATCTTCCAGTGGAATGGATAGTAGCGCTTCCTCAGGCTGGACTTCTGGGGTAACTCTTAAGGAGGTATCTCCAGCTTCGGTGCAGTCTTCACACGTGCCAGCTGCCACTGGGACCCAAGGGCATGTCCCCCCAACTGTTAAACCTGAAACTTTATCTGTACCACAAGCAGTAGCTTCTGAAAATGTTACAAATGATGGAGGACATGGTGCACCTCCTATCCCTGTTTCTCAAGCAGATATGGTGATCCCTGATCTTCCTCCAATAACAGAGATGGTGACAGGAAATATTCTTGATATTCCTGAAGAAAATTATATGGCAACTGAGACAGATGAGGGATATATGGATCCTTCATTGGGGGCTACTGGATCATTTCCCATTGATTTTGAAGTCATTTCACCTGATAACATTGATGATTTGTTAGGCAATCCTATTTGGGATGAAATTTTGCAAACCCCAGTTCCAGAGGATATTGAGACCAATATTGCCGATGTATCGAATGAGGTCCAGCCAACGGAAAATGGATGGAGTAAAACTCAACATATGGATCACCTTACAGAGCAGATGGGTCTTCTTTCTTCTGATACAAAACGAGTTTGATTATCTATGAAATTTATATTAATCTTTCATATTGTGCAAGATAATCCCTGACCCAAACAATACACGACTCTAGTGATGTCTATAATATATAATTACACTTCCACCTTATCCTGAAAGTCAATGTTTTTCATTTGGTCGTCTATGGATTTAGTTTATCGCGCATGCAAGGCAACATGATACGAACGTATGGCCTTGTCATGGAATACCTGGGGAGTCTTTGTGGTTGGTTGCCTGATTAGTTTTTCCAATTTTATAGGCAATGTGTGAAGTTGATTTGTATGTGAATTAAATTGCAGCAGTTCATTCTCCATTTTTCATGTTTCTTAGGCGAGGGGGATATAGGAAAAAGAGAAGACTTCGATAATGATTGCTCAATGTGTCTGAAAAATCTAAGTTGGTTGACAGCAGTGGTACGACATTAAGTTGCAGGCCATTTGTTTCTTGGTCCATTTTGTTTTATCCTCCCCATGGTTATGTTTCAACTCATGGAAAATAGAAGGAAATGAAATTGAATGGAATTGTTCATAATAGGATGGAGTTGAAACTCACAATAGGGGTATGATAGAGATGATGGTAAGTTGGGATTAACACTTTCATGAGAAAAAAAAAAAGAAGTTCGTCCATGCTGAAATTAGTTTAAAAAAATACTTTTTATATATTAAATTGAGATTTTTTACATGAGTATAAATTAATTTTAATTTATAGATAAATTTGTTTCATTTTTTTCTTATTTTTATTATTGATTATATTAAAATATGTATTAAAAAATATTTATCTATTATTTATTAATTTCCTTATAATTTTGTAACTTTAAATAATGAGATGACTTCTCATAATAAAATATTTAAAGAGTTGTATAGTGATTTGGTTCCATTCTAATTCATTTTATGTTATATACAATGTCTCTTGAGGTGCACTACATTCGATGAGTGGTTCCTCCATTTCCTTTTTCCTTTTATTCTTTCCACCAAGTATACTGTATAAGATGAGTTATACATGTTCATTGCTTCACATAATAAATAATTTTAAACATTGAATTAATATAAACTTTCTTTTTTTGTAAAGTACAGTGTAAGAAGAATGGTAAGTATTTTCCATCGGATTCTTCGACTGTAATAAAGTTTTTTTTTTTTCATCACCAATATGAAATATAACTTTTTAAGACAGATATTGTAAATTTATATATAATTTTTCGATCAATTTTAAAACTTTTAAGGTTTTACGATTAGTTGTAACATAAAAAATCAACTTTTATATATAACTATTTTCTTACATATTGAATCATCAAATGATGCAAGACTTTGGTTTCTGTGCATGTTAATGTAAAACTTTTAATTTCGATAGAGTTAATTACTATCAAATGCATGTCTCTCAACAAAAGTGTACATTGGCGACATAATATTCTATGCAATGCATGTCTATGTAAAAGTCAATACATGTGACTTTGACAAAAATAAAAATATTATTACTATTCTTATCATTATTATTATTTGAGAGTTTGTTGGGATGAGTGTTGTGTACATATATTATTATCACCGCAAAATAATATTATATATTTTTTTTAATTTTACATATAAAAATATTTAAGGGTTATTTTATTTTAAAAAAATAATTCTATTGATCCCTTTTTCTTTAATAATATTTTTTTATTTAAAAAAAAGTTAAGATTGCATGTCTATATGTTTTATCAATTACTATTTTATTTTAAAGAATTACTTGATAACTTCTAGTGGACTTTTTCTCCTAATTACATTTTTTTTATTACTTACAAATTCAAATTGAAACTTTTCTTAAAAATTTTGAATATAGTATCTGGCATACGACCTTAAGTTGTATATTGATATTTTTAATTTAACTTGTTAAATATATACAATTTTTGAACGTAACTTTTACCTGGAAAAATGCTAATAACATATTCTTTTCGATTTGATAATTGACTGAAATTTTATTTATAAATGCATATAATTATAAGTATCACTTCTTTTGTTATTTAACAAGTTTCTATCCTTATTTTAGAATTTTTTGATAAATTTTAACTAATAGCAAATATATTGGAAGAAGTGCTTTAAAAAATGTCTTTGCTACTTGACATTAAAAAACATGTATATTTAAATGACCTTGGCACCTCTTACATTATATGTATATATAGATAGATAGAAATAATATGCAAACAAAAGGTGGAGAATTTGTAAATGTTGAGTGAAAAGCAGAATGTTATTTGGGTTTGCCTTGAAGTTAGGATTGTGATCCGAAGGATCTTATTTATGGATCCGACTTTCTAATATTCATTTGGGGTTATGTCACTGCTTTGCATGCTTCTCACTTGATTATAGGTATCTCCATTCCTCACTATCGCACCATCATTCCTTTATAATAATTTCTCCAACTTAAACACTATACTTAGCTTTCATTTTAACTTTAACAAACACCGCAGGGTTAGAGATGCACATGTTTAAGGAGAACCATGAAATTTAAGATTTTAACTAATTTTGGAACTTAAACTGAATTCAAGTAAATTGTTAAAAATGATAAATAAACAATAATTATCACACAACCATGCAGCGTTAAGCTCCGATATCACCACCAAAACCTCACCTGTCCATCCATTTCGGTAACACTTGTCATCACTCTTATAAGCAAAAATTTACAGTCAAGCACGTGGCTTTCTTTTATGAAAAAATTGCCATTCTTCCATTCTTTAAACCCCATTTATTTTTGTTTCGTTTATGCTCAGAGAGTGTTTGCAGGTGTGAACAAGGTAAATGACATTGGTTATCAGAGAGAGGAGACACAAGCAAGCTCTAAGGCTTTCATTGCCAAAAACTCCTTCAAATCCATCACATTCTGATTTCCCAAACCAAATTCACGTGCCAGCAGTTCTGTCATCCCCATCTTCCCATGTAGACTCTTCTCCAGGCATCATCAAGGACCTTTCGGACCTTAAGAAGCTATCAGTTCTCGGCCATGGCAATGGTGGCACAGTCTACAAAGTTTATCACAAGAATACCCGTTCCTTCTATGCCTTGAAAGTGCTACGGTTGAATGAGAACGGCCTTGGCATTCGCCAACCTGCTACACTCGAGGCTGAGATTCTAAAACGTGTGGATTCACCATACATAGTGAGGTGTCATGCAGTTTTTGACAGTGGTAACTGTAATAATGATGGTGACAACGGAGGTGATATTAGCTTTGTTATGGAATACATGGAAGGAGGGTCTTTGCATGATGTGTTGAGAGAACACCACAGACTGTCAGAAGAGGTTATCTCGGTGTTGGCTTGGCGCGTTTTGGAAGGACTTCAGTATTTACATGGCATGAATATTGTGCATAGAGATATTAAACCATCAAACTTACTTGTGAACGATAGATTGGAGGTAAAGATTGCAGATTTTGGGGTGAGTCATGTGGTGGAAGGTAGGTTTGAAGGAAATGACTATGATGCAGGCACTTGTGCTTACATGAGTCCGGAAAGGGTTGATCCAGAAAGATGGGGTGGTGAAAATGCAAATGAGTTTGCAGGTGATGTATGGTCAATGGGAGTAGTAATGTTGGAATGCCTTTTGGGTTGTTTTCCATTGATTGGTCCAGGGCAGAGACCAGATTGGGCAACTTTGATTTGTGCAATTTGCTTTGGTGAGAAGCTGGAGATGCCAGAAAAAGCATCACCAGAGTTTCAAAATTTTGTGAGGAGGTGTCTTGAGAAGAATTGGAGGAAGAGAGCAACAGTGTTAGAACTTCTTCACCACCCTTTTGTGACTCGGAAAAATTGTTGCTCTTCTGATAAAGAGCTTGGCGATTATGTTCTTGGAGGACGTTAACTAGATTTTAACTTCTTAGCATAGTTTTGTCTTTCATCATTTCTAGGCCATCACCAAATAAATAGAATTCAGAAAATAAATAGGGTTGGAATTTTGCGGAGGACAGGAATAAATCTTTTGGCCTAAAGTTAAAAATTAAGATGTCAATAATATTATTAAAAACCTGACAGCAATTGTGGAAAATTACTGTCAGCAAATAAACCATGTTCTGTACACCCTGACACGTTAAGACATTGAAAAAGACCATTAAATAAAAATATTATAGAACACATTACTGAATAAAAAATATAATTAATACTTTCAACCTTAAGCAAATAAACATTGCTGAATATTATAGAACACTTTTTAAAAGAAATTATTAATTGCAAAGTCATTACATAATTTCTATGCACTTTTAAACCTGGTTTCTTTATTTATGAGTATTTCTGTTTTGTATTATTGAATAGTCAAATTAAATTTTAAAAGCCATCAACAATAAAGTTTTTTTTTTAATTCAACCAAATTATTTCAGTAATAAGGAGTGTTATTTTATTCGCTGTAACATCAAACGGACAGTGACCCCTCTTCCCCGAAAAGAAACTGAAAATTTGCAGTAATCTTTTACGGAAATTTTAAAATAAAGTATCACTAATTACTTTCAATCATAAAACATGAAATAACGCAAGTGAATTCGTAGTAATATTAATATTCTCTCCTTAAATTCAACGTTCAAGCTTATACATTACAATATCTTCAGTTTTGCAACAATCAACTGCAATTAATAATTAATCCCTCAAAATTAGAGCAATAATACCATTTAAATATTAAAAACATCAGCTTCCCAACTCAGACTAGAAAGACTAACAGAAAATGTTCCTGACAATCTTGTTCGGGAAGAACCCTTCGTTCAACAATAGTGCTCTTCCAGAGTCTGAAGATGTCGGGTAACAACTGTGTTTTCAGGGGGAAAAGAAAGATGGCATTACAGTTATCTGTCTGCAGATCACAACCATAATCACTTCAGAATAGAGAAAGAGTTCTATGAGGTGAGTGTTCCAACTATTTTGGGGGAGTCAAATTCCAATTCTTTGAAATTTCTTTGGGCCTATAGAGATGACCACCTGCAAAAGAATGTTTCGCACAAACAAAGCCTAAGTGACCCGGGCCTCCAATGCAAAGCTAAAAAAGGGATGCATTCGTCTCCTATCTAAGACATGAAAAGGAAGCTTATACTCAACAAGATAAACCATGATGCGAGGACCGTAAAAAGAGCTATAGTTAGCTACATATCATGCCTACTTATGTCAAAGAAATCAGCTAATGGAATGTTATGGTAAACATGCAAACCAAAAATGAAAGTTGATAGAACACCAATAAGCATAAACTAATCAAATGTAATTCAAAACACAAAAAGCACATACAAGCGTTGTTCTAGAGATAAATGTCTCTTATAGAGAGTATTCTGTCCATAAACTACAAATAACAATGCCTTTTTCTTAATTACACAGCCTAGTATCAACTGTATACATAACTTCCATAAGTTATTTTCAACGATAACCCATAAAGGGAGCTTCAAATTGAACCACAGAAAAAATATCTGAACAAGTAAAGCAGAATGTTGGGAGTCCAGTAAATACTGAGGAAGTAAATGGTAATGTAAACAACAGAATTTCACCATGTGTAAGGTGTACGAGAAAAATAAATAGAAAAGGAGGAATGATAAAGGTGCAACGTGTGGCCTGCGTCGGAGCAGTGGGTTTTGTAACTAACTTTGCTATATGACAAGGTTAGAGAGGGATTGTGAGTAAATATTGATTCTGTTGTGGATTGCATTGGGGGAATATAAGTTTGGGAGAGATGCCATGAGAGGGGAGGGAGAGAATTGTGGAAATAGACTTTTGGGAGAAGGCTTGATCCCTCAAAATACCATGTAAACCTTTTGTTCGCTTCCTTCCATTTAAGAAATAATACACAAGGTGGAAAAGTTACATACTACCCTATTATCAATTCTATTTCTCAATGTTCAGTGATATTCTTATTTGCTAATACTGATAACAGTTCTTACACAGGACAAGCTATTTTCTATCAAATATTCTAATATTACTTTACGGCTTATAGGTCCTACTTCTGCCCATAACTGCTCCGACTGAGTACTCAATAATCATGATAGTTATTATAAGTCCCCATCAAAAGATTTTCACATGGAATTTAGATATGAACAGATGAGTTGTTAAGTAAACATCACAGCATAGGCAGACAATCATCTATAATCTATTGTGGCTTGACCAAACCAGAATACCAGATTTCAAACATGTACAAGAAATTAACTGTTTTCAAGAATTTATCATTATATCATATAATAAATATATTAGGGTAGGTTTGGATTCCACTTTGGGGTGTTCCATACTCAGTTTGAAGAGAAAATTCAATTTTGTGACACATTTAGCTGTCCTCAAAGTACATTTGCACACTAAAATTTTGCAAAATGAAAACTACTCCATAATTAGCTTTCCCAACTTTAACCAAACATGCACTTAGTTAGTAGAGCCCAAGGCATAACAGTGAGGTTGCTACCTTATGAATTAGAAGTCATAGGTTCAAATGATGAAAATAGCCTCTCCGCTTGAGTTAAGCCGGAATACATCTACTCTCCCTAACCTCACTGGTGTGGAACCTTGAGCACTAGGCTGCCCTTGCATGCCAAATGCATAACTGCATGCGTATCATGGGGAAACACACACCAATACTGATATTTAACACATGAGATCAAGGATATGAGCATCAAACCAACGACTGAAGTTGGTAGCATCAATGACTAAATACCAAAAATTTTATGGTGGTCTCATTTTGTGTTTTAATCAGTAGAACCAAAAAGTACCAAAATAATGTTCTAAAATATGCTAAGAAACACAGATATATCATAACGAGATCATTTAGTGATTGATATACAAACCACTTCGATGTGATACAAGGTGGATAAGGGAACGAGGCCCTTCAAACTTCCAGTTATCTTCAACCAACGATTTAACTTCCTTGTCCAGTGCAGCCATAAGATCTGATTTTAAAACTGTGAAATAAGACTGCAGAATGTCAAAATACATGCCTCGTGTACAAGATCACGAATAACAGACAGCAGAAAACATTATAATTTTGATCCAAAACTATATAGAAAGATGTTCCCCTAGATTAACCAAAGTTTTATCTTTCTCTTTCCTTCTTTTAAAAACTAATACATAGGGAATGAAAATAGGAAACCAGACCAGAATGGCCAGACTAATATAAATCCTAGCCAGAATGCAATTTAGGACCACATATTAATTCAAACCAGAGAAAACCCAATGGAGAATCTAAAGAAAATAAATAAATAAATAAATGATGTGGAAAAAAAATCAATTAGCCGTAAACAATAATTAAGAATAACTCGGGAATCTTAGAAATTGCAATGCTAAATCATATTACAATAAAATAGTCAGAAAGGGACCCTTCGATGAACTTCACCCTAATAGCTAAAGGGTATGATATTCATCCCAATGGTGAAATGACCGCAAAGCTTCAAATTTGAATGAAGATCACAACAAAAGAAGTAGATTGAACAAAGCCCACCTAACATGGCTTCGTCTTTACGCTCGTGCGATGAGATAGGATCACATGGAAAAACAAAATCGTCAACGGATACCGTCGCGTTGCTGCCGCCTCCGCCACCACCACCTACAACCGCCGTCGTCGATAGCGATGAATGAGCCGGTGATGAATTATTCATCGTTCCCCCAAAATTGATTTTTCACTGTTTGGTCTTCTGAATATGAATAACAGGATACGAGCTTCTCAGATTGGATGGATGATCGGTACACGGACCCGGCCAACAAGTATGTTTTGAAATTTGAATCAGCACTTTCTCATTTTGTTCCACATCCACACAAGGCTCTGGGCAAGAGAAAAAAATGCTTTAAATTTTTGAAAAGTAGTTATTTTTAAATTAAACTAAAATATTGTTATTTCAAGATTATTAAATTTGAAATATTGTAGTAAATTAATAAAAATGTTTTTAATATATTTTTAAGTAATTATTTTTACATATCAAACTCTCTTTCATACATATTCAATTTTTATCGATAAAAAAAAATCTCTCTTTATATACTTCTAAAATGAGGCGAATTTTATCTTTACTTAGAGTTGATTCAGTGCACATAACTATCACTACCAGGTCATATTCACAAGGCTGTAATCAGATATAAAAGCATGACAAATAATTGAATTGCTGTGAAAAAAAATCCTTAAAATTAAATTAAAGATTTATCTTTATCTCCATCTTATATAACAATTTTTTTTTCGATCAATTAGACAAGATGTGCTTATAAAAAAATATATATTGGACATTCTTATAGTGTGATAACTCGATCAGAATTGTTTTCAAGTTTTTTAAAAAAGAAAAAGAAAAACGAAAACACTACAAGGAAACATTAGGAGAAAATAATTTTTTTGTTCAGAAAACTATGATTCTTCAAAATCATAATTCCAAAAATCATGAATTCGAGAATCATAAATCCTGGGTTTATGAATTATGGAAATTATGATTCCTAAGTATAACTAAATCATTTGTATTGATTAAAATTATTAATGAAATATATATATATATATATATATATATATATATACTTTTTTAAATGAATAATATATTATTTTTATTAAAATATCATTTATGATCATATTAAATGCTTTAAAAAATAATATTGTATTTTCATTAAAAAAAATCGATTAAAAAGCAGTTAAATTTTGTGTGAAAAACTTGACCAAAAATATTGTAAAAAACATTATTTTCTTGAAATGTTATATTTTAAAATGGATAGCTTCTCAACGGAGATTCTGACTCTCTTGTTCTTAACCAAAAAAGGAATTGGGTTATTTTAAGATGATTGAAAACCAGGTTCTCCTCTAACGCTTTTTGTTTAAAGGCTAAGGCCTCAACCAGCCTCCCTACACATTAGAGTAAGTTAAAAGTAGTTGCAAAATTTACCGCTGTCTTTTCCCTGGCCCTGTTCACATAAATAGCTAATCAAGTCCTCCAAATTTGTTTGTGCGCTCAAGAAAAACCTCCTTGACATTGCAAAAATAGCTAAATTAAACGTGTACACACTGCATACTTTGTCCAAATTTCCAAGTGACACGGTGCAAACAATTCACACATAAAGTATATTATACATACCAACTCAGGTTAGAGTTTGATCACGTGCTCCTGTGAATGGAACAAACATAGTAGAAAGGAATCTGTTCATAGCTGTCAGTACACCGGAGGAGATTGAGTTTTATCGTGCCTCTTGTAAATGGAACAAATATAATTGAAAGTAATTTATCGTTTAATTTCTGTACACCCAGAAGTGATTAAGCCTAGGCTCGTGAGATACACTCCTTGCAAATCTCAACACTTATGTTTACGTTTGATCAACTTGCATTATGTTAGAGAAGTTTACGATTTGTGAATCCCACAAAGAGGAATGGTGACGAGAAGAGACTGTTACTGGCTATGCGAGTGGTTAAAATGGAGTTGGAGAAATTTCTTTAATTCACTTGAGAGGTGGGCATGGAAGAGATGAATTGCCACTAATAGTTTCTAAGTCTTAGAAACTGATATATATCTAATTCAACTTTGTAAAATAGGGATTATATTTATATATTGATTGAGGATTTTTTAATATATCCCTAACAATTAATTATTTTTAATCTATGTAAAAATTTTTATCAGGGATTTTTTATTACATTCTTATAGAAATGAATGGTGAAATATGAAATAATTTAGTGCACTTAATTTTTTAATATTTATAATTTTCGAATATTTATAAAGTTTATGGTAAAAATTACACTCATATATTATAATATTATTATATTTTAATCAATATAAAATTTTATCACTGAGAAAAAAAATTAATACACCCTTTTATTGAGTTATGAAAAAAAATTTATGAATTTTTTTTTGAAACAAAAAGATGCAGTGAAAAATCTTTGCCAATAGAGAAATATGATAAAATATCTCCCCAATAAAAAAACATTATGAAAAATCTCCCTCAAAATTAGAAAACATAACAACTGAAAATAAATTAAGTAAATACAATTCTTAATTTATAAGATTAAGTAAAATATTTCAAATATTTTTAACTTAAACTTAAGAACTGTTTTTGTAATATTATAAAATTAGATTTCAGAAGTGTTATAATTTTTTTAAACTATGATAATCCCATTAAATCCTCTCTTAATCTTAGTTACCATATCTTTACATGGAGTATGTGCAGAATACGAGGGGTTGGAGAATTGTAGAACGATTACAAAATTCCAAATTTGGGTGAAAGAACCCCACAACTCCAACAGAAACAAGAAAAATTTATCCTGAATAGAGATATTGCTAAGAAGATTCAGCGATGCTAACTTTCAAGTTGCATTTACAGGTAAAGAACAAATTAATATTTTTTTTTATTAAGGAAAGAAAGATAACTAACAAGAAGCAGGTTGTGACTCATCCATAAAGGCCCCAAACACCAGCAAAAAACCGAGAACATACACCCCACAAATTATCGGTACACTAATGTTATTATTCCCACGTCATGTACTGAAACCTGATGAGACAAGGTCCTGGTTATTCATGAAATCTGGTAAATCAGCACTCGGTGTTAATTATCAGCAAGGGAGATCCTATCTGCAGTAGTTCTGTAGATAGTGCATCTGATTCATAATAAAATTGAGTCTTCGACTAAGCAGCAAGGACAACGATGACTATTAGAAGCACGACCCCAAATATCACCAAAAGCAAGCATGTCTACATATAAAAACAAGCAAGAACGTTTGAGTTTAATAAAGAAAAATACATGAAGCTTTAAAAGGATAAAGAAAAGGTGGGATCAAAGAACAAGATATTCGATCAAACATTCATATTAGAAATTGAATCTAATTGTTATATGATCCATCATCCACCACCACAACATAACCCCATTCCCTAAACAAATCTCTCTCTCAACAGAGAGTAAAATGGTATCCGCTATGGAAACAGAAAACCATCCAAGGCCTTTGTCATTACTATAAATATGAATCATACACCCTGTAGCCTTTCGAAAGTTCAATTTGAAGACATGAAGGCTTCAATTCATTTAGCCCCTAACATCTATATCTATTCAAGAAGTACTGCATCTAAATGTATGCAATGAGCACAAAGGGACCTAAAACCAAACACACAATAATAAATAAGAGAAATTATATATTACCAAAGATGAATTTGATCTTTGCGTCTTTGAAGCTTTGCCAAGTTGAGATTTTGCTTGCAGAGTTGCTTCATGAGAATTCTCAATATTGGACCCAATATCATCTACAAAAGTGGAAATTCTTGACATCAATAATATAAACAAGTCTAGACACTAAAAAATAGATTTAATAGAAAAATGTGTGCAATTAGCAAAAGTACAAGGGCAAAAAACTAAATTACCAATCATTGTTCCTTGCTCATGAACAAGAACAGCAAGATCTTTGAAAATCTCATTCACTTCACCAATTTGCTGCTGGATTTCTTGAATGCCTTGCTCTCTTTCCTCAATGATAGCCTCATTGAATGCAATCTCATTATCTAAGAATAATACCTCCTGTCTGTGGCATCATCAATAATACAAGAGCTTAGACAATAAAAGAACGTAAATGGTCAAACTTGGAAAGTATTGTTCTAATATTACAGATTCATGTTCAGTTTTTTTTTTTTATCAAATTTAGTAATATATGGCAAAATCCTGATAAAGATAATGATCATATGACCAAGCCCCAACAAAGGAAAAACAGAAGAAGACACTTTCTAGTATCAATGCCATTACGTGTAAAAAGTACAATTGCTGAATTTGAAAATTCAGATAAATTATTTGATGATAAGTTTTTAATTAAATCTAACAATAATAGAATCCTGTCAGTTATAATTCTGCAATTTTATCCAAAGTTGATAATATAAGTAGAGCTCTTAATCTTTTTTCTAAGAAAAGCAATAATCTCATATGAAAATAAATTTGCAAATCACTCATTCCCTATCAATGAGAGAAATCACCTTCTAGATTCCACAAGAAGTGCCCGCTGTTCTGGAGTCTTATCAGAACTGATGTCTACTTCGCCAGCTGTGTAGCTGCAAACAGGAAGGAAGGTCCGTATCATTAGTATTGTATGGAGAGGCAATGAAAATTAGAAACATCAGAAACAGGTAGCCACAAAAGTAATGAGCACAACTGCTCACTAAAAGAAACCTATTATTCATTTTTCTAAATCAGTTCAATCAATAAAGTTGCTTCTATACAAAAGTCACATACACAGAAGGAGCATCTTGCCCCGTGCACAGTTAAACTTCAACTAGGAAAACAGGTCTGCCAATAGTTTTTCAGTCAAACAGTATATCCCTCTTAGAGCGGGGGAAAATAATTTGCCGTAATGGCTGATACGAAATTGAAAGAAAATAGATTTTCCTACGATCCTTTCAGAGTAGTAAAGGCCAGTTCTCAAATTTACACAATATTTACAGTCTAATCTAATCAACCAAAATATTTACTTACAACAATAAAACCAAATCAATAATATTTATTGACATATTGTAACATATATTGGCTGATTCAAAACTCCAACTACAGTTTACAGTACCTGGATGGAAGAACTGCCTGTGGAACAAAAGGACTGTAAGCTGTTTCCCTCTCAGCTGCAAGACGCTGAGCCTTCTGAAACTCTTTCAACACCGACTGAAAATCTTTTGCAAGCTTAGCATCTGCTATCTTCTTACTCGCCTGCAATACAAACAAAACATTGAACTCCACTTTTTCTTTCCTCAAGAAAAAAAAATCAAGATCACACCACCAATAATTCAGTACATAAACTATTACAAACAAAACACATGCATCCACTCAAAAATTAATCCAACACTACTTTAACCTAGACCGCGTTCTATAAAAGTGCCAGTTCAGCAACAAACTCAGCAGTTTATAAAGTAGGTCACGCATTAGACAATCCAATCAAAACAAAACAGAACAAGTCTAAGAGGCATGTTGAATTAAAGTAGAAAGCATTACATTAACGTCAACATTGTGATCAATCTCACTAGCTTGCTTAAGTTTATTCGAAGTATCCTTCACCAATTGTCCAATGTGCAGTCTCGTCTTATGCCTGCAAGATGCGACCACACATCAACCACGTCAGCATAATAGAAACAAGTTCAATCCAATCGCCATCGTAAACGAGAAGCGACATGCAATCCGATCAATCAAAACTAAAAAATCGAGGCACATAGATAGTTAGTGTGCGTGTGTGTGTGATGATGATGATGATGATCTTACAGCTTATCACGCAGTTCAGGCGTGTCCTTGGGGGTTCCCAGGGTGTTGACGAGTCGTTGGAACGTGGAGACGGCAGTATTGATCTGAAATATGCCGGAAGCCACCGCTTGCGTAGGGTCTGGTTTGCCGTCGGCCATCTTGCGCCGGGAAGCGAAAGGTCGGCCAGCCTCGATGTCCTGAAAGCTCATTTTTCTATAATTAATCCACTAGTAATTAATTCACTGTGTGTAACCCTAAGTTATTTATTGTTCCCTGGAGGAGAAGATTCTGGAATTGGAAAGAGAAAGAAGGTTGGTACAGGTACGTGGATAGGGAGAATGTGGCAAATTTAGCGGCTTGGATGTTCAAACCCACCGGGGTCTGAGGAGATTCGAAGTTTATGATGAAAAAACAATACTACGATGAGAGAGAATGGAGCGTGGAATGTTTGTTTGGTGGTGATGATGAGTGAGTGAGGGGTTTCTTCTTTATAAACTATAATATGCAACTCTTGGTTGTAACACAACACGTGTTTTTTTCAGAACACGCATTATGAGTACAAAGTTATATTTATCTTAGAGTGTGAAGATATATGATGATATGTTTCACATAAAAATCTTTAACATCTTGTCATTCTAATGCAAGTAAATATTTATTTTTGTATAATTCAGTTTTATGATAGACAATATTTTAACGTATAAATTATATTATAGTTCAGATTTATAATGATCTTTATATTGATAAATAGTCATACATAATTGAAAATTATAATCTATAATATTTTAAAATATATGAATTATATTATAGATAAATTTATAATAAAATAATATTTTCAATATATGTAGTATATTTATGTGTGTATTACATATGGTGTTCATTTTTATATAATTAAAATTTAAAACAAATAACATTTAAAATAGTTGATGATAGTGGAGCTATTTAAACAAAAATGAGTTTTTACCCCATGGAATCGTATTTAAAATTTAAATCAAGTTGATGAATTACGAATATTTAAATAATTGATTTTTTTACAAGGAAATAATTCAATCCAACTATCCAATTCGTGAACAACCGAACTATCAATCAAATGCATTAATATAAAAATATTAAGATTTTGTTTGAAAGGGTTTGATAATTTCAAAAGGAAACTACAACACAAGATCACGAGAGAAAGGGAAAATATATAAAAATAAAAGATAAATATACTTACTTCAAAATATATGATTTTACTAAATACAAATAATAATTGCGAATTCCAATTTTTTAAAAAATATATTATAAATGTATAATTGGAAATAAAATAAAATAAAATCCCATTAATCAAAATAAATATTTTAGTTTATAACATAAAATATATTATGGATTAACAGTAAAGAATGATGAGATATGCATGGCAACAAATCTGATTATATGTAGATGGATATATTCATATCGTAATATTCTCGAATATATACAATAGTTTTCGTTATTATTTTTATTTGTAAACATTTTTTTAATAATACTCCTACTTTATATTAAAAATAAAAACATAATAGTGGTCGAAATTATTTTGGTTTAAGTTCATACCAGTTGAATAATTCTTAATTAGTGTTTCATATTCTGATAAATTATTATGATGTGATTTTATACTTAAACACACAAAAAAAGTAAATACTATTCAGAACCTTGAAAAATAACTGTTAAATAATTAACAGTAGAAAATAAAAGTATTGACTTACATAAAAATATGTTATTTTTAATACAATATTTTTTAATTATTTAATTAATATATTTAGTTTAGACAAAAGCTAATAAAATAGATTGAGAGTAATATGTGCCTGCTACTTTTCAAATTTTGAGCAAATAAAAGTGGCCCAAATATGCATAATTGACGGAGGCCAGGCTGGCGAGCTAGATAGATAGGTAATAATAGTGGCCCAAATGTATACAATTAATGGGCCCAGCTAGCTTGGTATTGTATAGTAACAATAGTGTCACATTACAAGTCAAAAAAGAAAGTAGCCTAGAATTGTCATAATCATAACAAAACTATACGAGTCCTTCTTAACAGTGCATTCTAAGATATTTCGGTGTGAAAATATATATCCTGTGTACAAATTGTAATGTGTAGAGTTAAAGTAAGATTAGTTTTTAAAAGGTAATTTTAATAAGTGGTAATTTACTTTTTAAATATATTTAAAGAGTAATTTGTTAACATACCCAAATGAGATTTTCTTAAAATACATATATTGTTAAATACATTATCTGAAGAACAAATGAGCATTAAAAAAATGACACAACATGGAAATGACATTTAATTTAAAAAACTAAAAGCTAGGTAGACAAGATTGGAAGCAATCAGAATATTGAATCTACATATTAAAAAAAAGCACCTCTTCGCAGCGTCGACGTCGTGGATTATAATTGCGTTTGCGAGTTCGTGAAATGCACGTCAAACTCATATGCATATATCATTATGCATGTCAAAAGCTTCATGCTTGCCACACAACTAAAGGGAATTTATAAAATAAATATCATATTTGACACAAGTACAGGACTACTTAGTTCTACATAAAAAAAATGGACTACATAATTCTCTACATACAAAAAAAATTGACGTAATTTTTTTTTTTAAATTAATGGAAATAGGTAATTAAAAAGAAAGTACATAAGAGATTTAAATAATTTATATTATGAATTAAATATAATATGTGATTAGTATTAGTCTTATATCGATTTAAAAATTGACATTAATATAATTTATATATCTTTCTTCTTGATCAATAAAAATATATTTTAAGATTAAAATTGGGATGAAAGGAAATTTCAAAAAAAAAATTTAACGATATTATTAATAAATATAAGGTTGATATTCTCGTTTCATATAAAATAATTATTATTAATTATAATAAAAAATTGTTTTTATAATATTAATTATAATTATCCATCATATTTAAAAAAAAAAAAAAAAACTCAAGTTATAGCACAAAGTCCTTAACCCAAGCAACTTCAGCTGAACTATATTTTCATCTTCTCACATTCTTTTCCCTGTGCTTATCACATTTGTTCAAAACTTTTTATCTCGAAAACCAAATTATCATTTTCCATGTAAATTGTTTTTATCAACTCATCATACTTTAAAAAATATAGTAGAAATGAAATTTTTTAATTTGAGTAAACTTCACATGCTGGTGACAGGTCTTTTATTCACGCGGATTCGTGCTTGGTTGTTTGCAGTACGCGACGCTGGCACGTGCGACTCTATCGCAGGCACGGACCATCAAACCCTCTTAAATCCCGAGACGACTTTTTATTCTTCACTAAATTGCTCTTTACATTACTACTTGCAACACCACCAGAGCTTACCCCCGCGTTTCCGTCACCGGAGATTCTATCTGAAATCATTTCCCATGTCGGTGAGTTTTCATCGCACCGTCTCTGTTTCTGAATTCGTTATAGTACGCTTCGAATTTTTCTCACCGTTAAGATTTCTGCAGTTTTTCTGGCTTGCTAATTAGGCTTTTTCTACTAGATAAATTTATCTCACATAGCTATGAATGAATTTCCTAAATGTTTTTACAAGATATTTGATTATTTAATTTGTGTATTTTGATTGCTAGCGATTGTTCAGCGTTTGGTATTTTAGGTATACTTTGAAAGACTCATAACTGTTGTGTTACATAATTACTGAAATTAGAGAACATGATTCGAATGATGTGCAGTTAATTGTTTATTGATTGGCGCTCTAAATTCGATATCAAGCTTAAAGCAAAACAGTCTTGGTGTATCGTTGCTTAAAGCATTTTGAATGCATAAAACCGTTAATTGTTCCAGTGACATGTTTTAACATTTTTAGTGTTATTTTGGGTGCTTGAGAAAATTTACGGGTTTGTGTCTTGGTTGGTTTATCTTTAGGGATATGGAAGTATCCATAGTTTGTTCTTAACTTCATAAACGTGATATAATATCTGTAACAACAAAGATTGCGTGATTCCCATACGGACATTCATGTTGATAGTTGCAGATATGTATGTGCTATTACTTCATTAAGAGTTGGCATTTTTCCTCATCACTGGGAGCTGTTGATGGGAATGGGATTACTTGAAAATGGAAAAGTATTTAATAGTGAGAATTTGGACATGGTAGATAAACTCTATTGACATTTAGGGTTTACTTAGGGAAGGAGGAAGAAAGAGAAAGAGAGAGAGAGAGGAGACTTTTAAAAATATTGTCATGTGTATCATGATGAGTACTTAAGATACAAGACACTAAACTTGTTTATTCTAATACTAGATTCATAATCCAAATCAAACAAGGAAACATATTATAAAATATGGAAACCGCTGCAAAGAGAACACATTAGGTACTCTATTTTGTGTAATACAACAAATGATGTTATGAAATATTTTCTCCATTTTCTTCCAAACTCCATTATACTGGGTGATTGATTGTGGAATAATTTTATGTTTATGCTATAGATAATAACTTTCAAATAAAGTTGTTTGGTAGGAAACATATACACGCTTACTATATATCCTTTTAAAGGAGGTATGTAAGTGCATGTTCTTAGCTGGGGGAGAATGAGACAAAAAAACTACTACAATTTTCAAAATCATTATGAATCTTTTGTCATCCGCTCTTGAACTTTCTGTTTACTTAAAACTTCAATAGTAAGTATTTTAGTTGAATAATATGCTTTGAAATTTGAATTTGAATTTGAGAATCAATTATAGACATGCTTGCAATAACATACATATGAGACACCATAAGAGGAGTTTTCTTCAATAGTAAGTTTTTTTGGTTGAATAATATGCTTTGAAATTTGAATTTGTCAATGAGCTTCAGAAGTTTGTTGCATATGAAGAACTGGGTATTCTATAATTCAGGTCTCAGAGTTTTAATACTTATTTTCCTTTTTCAGATAAAAACTGTTAAAGTGGTTAATGTTTCCTTGGGAGCAAATGAACAAGACATTAAGGAATTCTTTTCATTTTCTGGTGATATTGAATATGTTGAACTGCAGAGGTCAGTTATTTCGCCCGGTTTCATGATTCCCCCTTTTAGGTTGCATCTTTTTCTAATTTTTATTATACAAATAATAAATTTATGTGTGTTAATGCAGCCATGATGAACGATCTCAAACTGCTTATATTACCTTCAAGAATTCACAGGGAGCTGAGACTGCTGTACTGCTTTCGGTAACCCACTTACCATCATTACATTAATATTT